GGCCCGGTCGGGCGGGTGTCGCGTTGAGGCTGGGTGCCTGCACCTGTCTGGTGCTGCCCCTCGCCGTCCTCCCTGCCGCAGGGTGGCTGGGGTGCCAGGCTGCATCTGCGCTCGCCAGCAGGGAACGGGTGTTTCGGGTGTGCTTAGGTTCATGGTGTACCTTTAAAAGCGGTTAAAATAATCGGCAGCAGTACTTCTCATTGCATGAGGTAGGTACAGCTGGCCGGTGAGCTCTGTGGCTGGGGCTTTACTAACAAGGAGAGGGTCTGTTGGGTGGGAGAAGCAATTGTGGTACCGGAACAGAACTCTCGCATATGAAACTGAAGGCTGCGTTATCATCCTGCCAAGGGCCCGGGGCAGCGCCTAGTCTGCACATCAACGTACAGCAACCGGAATTCCTTCCTCCTTCCTATCTCCCGTACGGGAAGATAGCAGCTTTTTGTGCTAAGTTCAGCAGCTGTGGAGACTTGTGGCAGGTCGCTTTTGTTTGCATCTTGCAGGTGAAAGGAATGCAGATGTTTTCCTGCCTTCTGCATGTGATGGGTAGTTTGGGGCTCTCTTCTAATACATTCTAATTTAGTTTAGCGCTGCCTGTTTAGTCTCAGCTTCTGGTTTTCATGCCAGGCTACAAAGCATTGGGAGGTGATGAATCAGTGGACTGGCAAAAGGCCTGCATGGACAAGTTCTCCTTTTATTTAAGAGGGTTTTATCCAGTAGGAAGGTTTTATCCCGTGATTATCAGGATGAAATTAACTCATGTAAGAGCTTGTATTTAGGGGAGGCACTTGAGAGAGTTAATGAAGTCGCAATGGTGCCTGACGTATGGACTGGACTACACGTGTTACATTTCTGCCTTGTGTGTAAGCCATCACTGACACTGTTCTGTGTGTTTGGGATTGTCCCAAACTCTGTGGCACAAGTCTAGATGGTGTGTAAGTGCAGTGGCTGTGTTTCCATCCCTTCTCTGGCACCTGGGGTGGTCTGTGATGCTCGTGCCCCTAGCAGGGATGCTGAAATGTCTGTAATTGCCTTTTCTGAGCTTCCGTTTGTCCAGTGCCTTTCTGTGTGTAGGACTCAAAAGGAACTTCTGGGTCATGAGCAGGCACCTGCAGTTGTTTCTCACACAGCTGCACATGCAGAGCCTAGAGGAATGCTGAACAAAGGTCTGCTTCGTGCCCTTCCTGTTTTTTATGTCCTATCCTATCTCTGCATCCTATTGCAAGCTTAACAGCCCTGCAAGTTTATGTTCCTTCTGCATTAGCACTGTGTCTCACCTCTTTATCAAAAATAAGATGTAGAAAGAGCTGGCCTGTGAGGGTGAACGCCACCGGCATATGCCAGGTTCACTGTTGCCAAGTTGCCTTGATTTGGGGATTCTGTCAAGCATGGAGAAACTAGAATCAGCTGTCACACAATAATGCTGTGCTGGCTTCCTGGTTGTTGCTTAATACACCTGTGAGTTGTTGGGTTTGTAGGGCTATATGCTTGAAATGTGGTGGCTCAGCGATGAACAGTGCTAGGCTCTTGGTGGCCTCAGAGGGTTTATGCAACTTCACCTCTTGTCAGGTCAGGTGTTCAGGATTTGCAGTGAAATTAGTTGGTTTTAGGGGGTCTTGCACATCAGCTCAATCTACTCACTGCACCTGAGGCAATGTTAGCACTCCTGCTTTTCATTAGCTGCCCTTCACTGGGTTTATGTGTGAAGACCTTATGAAACTGTCTGCCTTGTGAGCAGAGATAATAAACCATAGTCACATATTGTTTGTTTTTTTGTCTGGTTTCTAAGAAATGCTGAAACGTTACATTTTCCAAGTTTTTCTTCTCTTCTACATGTTGAAGAGTCACTGTAGATCCTCTTGAGAGGATAAGAAATGTTGCATATTGTGTTCTTGTTTAAACTTGTGTTGGGGTCTTCTTGCTATCAGGAATAAAATTCGTTTACCCTCTACGTAACCTCAGTCAATGAGGTGCCTGTACCTGGGGAACAGTAGCTGAACCAGAAAGGTGTGAGAGTAGGCTGAGAAACTGCGGTGACTTTGTAACTTATGTTAAATTTTTTTATCAGCTCTGGTATAAGGAATTTGCATGAGTGTAAGTTGAACTGGCTTTTTAGCTGATGTAGCTTAACTAGTACAAAAGGTTCAGTGAATATTCTTCCTCTGTCAGAATAGCTTATTTGGGGTCAGGTAAACAAACAGAACTGGTGTGGTTCTACAAAAAAGGAGCAGAGTCTTAGTTTTCCCTTACTTTATGAAGATAATTGAAAAAAAAGTGTCTTCGGTTGGACCCTAGTAAGTCTTCTGCAAATGAGCTAAGTTTAGCCTATTATTTACCTGTTCACTCCATGCCTCACACCACGGGAAATCATGCTTTATTTATGTGCAAGGTATTTAAAAACAGCTGGGTAATTACTTTCAACTTGCTTTGCGTGGTGGAAATGAATACAGAAATACAGCCGGAGGTGATGGAGACTTTACGTCAGGCTTTGAAGATGTAAAATGAGTGGGCTCTTTCCTAATAAGTGCAAATGATGATCTGTTAGTGGTGTCATGATGATCACTTCAATACTGAATTAAAATTGGGTGAAAGAAAAGCGCTTCCTTGTGGATGCATACATGTTAATGTTGAGTAAGTTGGGGGTGTAGTTTAATAGTGTTCAGTGTGGCTGCTGCATTAACTGTGCACCCATTTTCCTTGAAATAGGAACAAAGCTAATCTGCCTTACCTAATTAGGTAGGTGATGCTGAGTATTTAGCTTGGACAGTTACTGTGCAAGACATGATACACTGTAAGCTTATGCCGTGTTTTGCCTTGCTGTAATTTGTGTGTTCTTCCCAGACATGAAACAAATTTGGAAAACATACAGGACATACTATATGTATGTGTGTATATATATTATATAAAAAAGTCTAATGCTTCATGATCTCTTGTGATGCCTATCTGATGTGACAAGCTTCTGACTTTGACGGACGTGTCTTGGCAGTTTGGACCCAGAGCTCTGAATAGCAAAACAAGAAAACATCTGGTCTCTGTTGCTGCTTTAGAAACACTGGAAGACTAATTGGTTGCATAACCACTAATATATAATAATATGTACAGTGAGCTCAAATATGTACCAGAAACATAGGAATGTTTGACTGTTGTCTTGTAATGACCCACCTGCCTATGTGACTGAGACTGCATTTGAGTTACTTGCCCTAATACCTGTCTTAATGCAACTTGCTTTTTGTGCATGTCTCTATTAGGAAGTGCTAATGCTCTGTTTCCTGGTATGTGCTGTGGTTTGTTTATGCCTAAAAATACGTTCTTGAGTGACAGATCGTAGTTCCTGCTAATTTCAGAGGGCATTGCCCTAGTTGAGGGTTTAAAGTGAGCTGAAGCTGCCAGGAAAACAATTACTTTGATCTTGAAATAAAAGGTGATGTTATTGTTAAAGCAACCAGGGTAGAAGTAGGTTAAATTTAATGCACTGTCTTTTTCTTTTTGCAGCATGCAGGTCACTTAATTTTTAGCTGTAGGTCTACATAACTGTGGCTCTTGTGAACAAGTGGAACATGTTGGGTGCTCTTGGACTGGGGGCATGTTTTTGTGTGTTTGGTTAGTTGGAGCCTCTTTTATTTGTACCATAGAAATTCCAGCAATTGCAAGTTGAGAGCATATTTGGAAATTGAACCACTGTTTTAACTACACAGCTGAGTGAAGATGTGGAGCGACTATCTGAAAACCCAACAGATGAGGGAGAAGGAGAGATGGAAGTTCATGAAGATGCCAGCTCTGTTATTTTACCAGGTGAGAACTATTGAGCCAGAAATTACCAATTTTAAGTGCCTGATAAGCTGCTTCTGTGTGGGGGGTTGGTTTGGTTTTGGTTTTTTACTGCCCTTCTGAGAGCAAACAAGACACTAAATTAGTTATTTTGGGGAATAAGTGCTGATGGAAAACCAAGGAGTTTTTCCAAGGATTGACATGAGAACACTTCTTTGTCATGGACTGTGCTCGATCAAAGAAGATTCAGCACATCTGGTTCTGAGGTAGCTTTGTCTATCATCTTCCTTTACATTGTAAATTACCTGAGTTGCAGTATCTGTGATGGTAGTGGATTGCAAGCAAAGTCTGTGCCAGATTTGTATGAGCAAGGTGCAATGTTGAACAGATGTGCTTTTAAACAGATTTTAGTTAGACTCTGGACCTGCTTTTGGAGGGTGTGGGGCAGTGTTAAATGGGCTTATTGCACCTCGGGTGTAGGCATTAAGGTAAGCCAATCTGAAATGAGTATTCTCAAAATGCTTTGCAGCCGTTCAAGGCATGCTTGTTTCAATAGTGCAATTTTATGTGTATTAATGTCCTGATTTCCTTGGCTGCCATCTCTTGACAATGAACTTGGGAACACATGTGACCACAGACTTTAGTAAGAGGTTATGTGTTCAGTAGGATTTACTAAAAGGCTAGTGTTCGCTGTGGTAAGGAACAAACACCAAACCATGCTGTTACAGTTGAAGGACAGAGTGTGGCATGGCCTGAGAGGGCCTGACTCATTAGATTACACCACACAGAAAAGTCAGCATAAAATATGCCTACTTATCTCCTTTCATATATTGGGTTTTAATGCTCCTTTTGCGTGTTTGGCTATACATTGCTCACGATCAAAACACGCTGTGTAAGTCAAGAGTACATGAACTTTTTCCTTACGAGTATTGTCAAAACAAACGGTGAATGGAAGGAGTATGGGGAAGGCAGTGTCTGTGTACAAGTGAGGCAAGCTTGAAGATCTTCAGAGAATAAACTTTGAAGGCAAGAGGACTGTAAGAGAATTGGGTTGGTCTTTTTCTAGCTGTAATTGCTCACTCCTTTTGTGAAACTTTATGTAACATGAGGGTAACAAATGTATAGTGATTTCTACCACGGTGGAGATGCAATGCAGATAGCTGTGTAAGAGCATTAGAATATTAAATCTCTCTGATGCATGTGCTAATCATGTAAGAATCACTTCAGACTGGGAAGGGGGAAAGGAGTTGTTTTTTTCAAGGAGGAAAGACTGACCATCAACAGACTTCTTTTCTTAGGAACTTCGAACTTCATTTCCAAGTTGTCCTTCTTGAAAATAAACCTTGTTTCCTGCCTGCTGTGTCCTTAAGCAGAGTTCCAAATTCAACATGTGAAAAAGAGGCAAGATCTTTGGATGATTATGCCTCATGCTTGAGAAGGAAGCATCTGTCTGACTGATCATCAAAACCAGCAATAGTTCTGGGATTTTTAAATCAAACTGAGGCTTAGTTTACTCTCAAGTGATTGATTGATCTTTAAATTCAGCCCAAGTATCTGTATTTTAAAGTCTTAATCCATCTTCTCTTTGGTTCCAGATAGTGAACTGGGTACCACTGCCCCTTCTTTGCGTTTCAGCAAGACCTGCCTAAAGAATGTTTTTTCAGTAATTCTCCTGTTTATTTATCTGCTGCTCATGGCTGTAGCTGTGTTCCTTGTCTACCAAACCATCAGTGACTTCAGGGAGAAGCTTAAGCACCCAGTGATGTCTGTCTCTTATAAGGAAGTGTCCTTCTACGATGCACCTGGTAAGACTGGTAACAAATAAAATGAGTTGTTATTCACATTTATCTTGAATTGTTTTACATTTTTGGTGTTGATTCTCCATGGCCCAGAGTACATATAATACTTTGACCCAGGTCTTTCAGTTCTTTTCTAATCTGTTGTGTTAACTTTGCATGGAAATTTTTCATATTGTGGGACAAATTTTGAGGACATTTTGGGGTTTTCATGCCAATAACAGAATGACAGTAGCTGCAGAGCATCATGCAACATTTGGTAGTTAAGAAGTGTTTGCAGACTCTAAATTCCTTATGCAATACTCCCGAAACGGAGTATTTTTCAAACAGGGTATCACATAGGATGCGTATCAGGACCTCAGTGCTGCACTGGACAGTGAGATGCTGTTGACAGTAAAGAAGGTGAATTTCTCAAATGCACTTGCTCATTTCTCAAACTTTCTGCTTCTGTTCTGCATTGTTTACAACTTGGTATTACATCAGTAGGCAATGAAAATGTGATGTGACTGTAGAGAACAATATTGGCATAAAAATGCAGTGTGGCATCAGAAAACTATATTGCAGTTTGCAGAGGGATTACGCCACAGAAGTGTTTTTGAATAGTGGGTTCTATCATTATTTTTTTAAATTATCCAGTAACCACTCATAAATAGACCTGCGGTAGCAAATGCAACTCAAACAGTCATAGGTCAGTTTCCAACTTAAAAATTACACTTTTTTTTGAAGTGTTACCACATTTTAGGAATAACCACTCCAGTAACTGTGGCTGAAAGGTGAGTGTTTCAACTTGTTGCCATATTCCTGTAGTTGTTTTTCTGTATGGTCAGTTAGGCTCAGATCTGTAAGTAGGTCCTTGTTTGGACCATATGGATCTGACTGTTAAGAGCAGGCTTTCCCCTTTTTTTGTTGTTTGGTTTTGGTTTTTTTTTTCGTGCGCAACAGGAAGAAAATGTCATTTAAAGCAGCAAAGCAACATACATATAAATCCAAAAGTATTGGCGGGGATCCCTGCCAGATTGGAGAGCCTAGATTAATGTAGCCATTTACTTCATTGCTCTGTTAAAGTGATGAGATGGCAAGTTGCAAGCATGGAGCACTGAAGAAAGGGATGAAGCATTTTTACGCCGATACATACTGACTGCTTTGATGAATTGCATTTTGGTGGACAGGTCATCTCAGTTGCCTGAGTTAATCATATCTAATAACTCAAGTCATACTTTTTTTTGGTCGTTGGTCTAGATTATCTTCAGGCAAGCTTGTTTCCAATACTAAATGTGGCATACATGGCATAAAAGGATTTGGGGTTTTGAGCTTTTTCTTTTGCTAGCCTTCTACAGCGGAGGTTGTTTTTTTTTTTTTTAATGCATGCTGTTGGTATGAAACCGTAGATTTATGGTATGTATGAATTTCTGTACCGGTGAAGTAGTAGCCTGCCTACCTAGTGATGTAAGGAATAAGGGATGGTAAAAGTTAGTCCTTGTTTGATGGCTTTGATTTTTATTGTGACATTGTATTCAGTGAGCAGAAGATGCTAGATGTTCTGAAGAGCATCTTCTCACTTTTATTAGATCAGCAGTGATCTTTGGTTTGTCATGTATAGTACACACATTATTTCCAATTAAAATTTGACATGTTCAGTGATAATATCTGAAAACATGTACATGCTGAAGCACTACACGTCCCATTTGACTTCAATAGTCTCCTAACTTACTTTGCACATTCATTTAATTTGGGGCCAGAGGGACTGATGTGTTAGGTGTTGGCTGTCTGGAAAATGAGGGGAAACTTAGTAGCTTCTGTGAACCTCAAATTGTCATAACAGAACATGAACCCTGATGATTTTTTTTTTTTTTTTTTTAAACGCATCATGGGGGTTCTGTCCTGATGCAGCTGGCACTGTTGTCCTGCTCCAGAAGAATGCTGAAGCACGTGATCTAACTTGATTGTTTTGCTGGATCTTGAGGATAGCTCAGTATCCTGGGGGATTAAATTCCAGAATGGAAATCTGTGTACTTGAGAAAGCAATCAGCTCTCTTCAAAGTTGTTGGGGTTTTTTGTTGGTTTGTTTTGTTTTTTTTTTTTCCAAAACAGGTATTGCCTTTTACCCAGGCAAGGCTCGGCTGCTTAGCTGCAAGCATCATTACTATGACCACATCCCGCCTCTGATAAATCCAGGTCAGCCAGGAGACATTGAATGCACAACTCAGAGAATCAACTACACAGATCCTTTTACCAATCAAACTATGGTAATAATAATATAGAACAAAGCTTATTCAGTGGGGGATTTCTGCTCATAATGGTATGTGAAAGTAAAAATATTTACTTAGTGCTGCAAAAAAATTCTTGCTTCTAGTTTTTTTCAAGCCATCTGTCCTTTTGTTTTCAGAAATGTAAAAGGCCCTATTCGGTGTGTGTATGTGTTATGGGTGATTAGCTGTCATGTGGGTGTGTGCGGCATGAAAATCTGAATTGGACAAAATAAGTAATTTTTCACAATGAAATTCTTGCTTCGTTCCTCTCCTAAATGAACTGGCAAGCATACTCCTTGACACAGTAAATCTAGCTTTGATTATGAGCACTAGCAGTCATTCTGTTGAAGTAGGATAGCTTACCTCTTTTTGTATGTTTGATGGGAATTACTTACTATTTTTGTCACACTTGGAAAAATCTTAACTGGGCACCAAGTCTTTCAGTACACTGAAATGCTGTGAGCCAATATGATGGGTACATTGAGTGATAGTCTGTCTTAAATTTCCCTTAAAAATGCAGGGAATCTAGGTTCTGTATAAATAAATGTTCAAAAAATAAGGTATTAAGTATGGTCATTTGTATCCAAAATGATTGCTGAGGTTGTTATTAAGGAAACTAAATGTGAATAAACAAACGGTCTAGGTACCTGTTTGGTCAACTTTTTTCCCTCTTTGTGTTTTGCCTTTTGTCTAGTCCCCATTTCTTTCTGGGAAGCAGCTCCTTAGTATAGTTGAAGTAATAGTCTAGGTGGAAGTCTAATTTAATTTCTGCCACTAATATGCTCTTTTTGCACATTTTAACAAACTGAGAACCTGCATTTTATACTGTGTGGTAGATTCATTTAGAAACTTGCTGATCCAATAGGCTTTAGTCCTGCAGCAGGGTGGAGAGGCACTGAGGCAGAGACCTCTGAACCATGTAGAGCCCTGTTCAAGTTGGCAGAGTCCTTTTGCAAGCAGCAGCTTGCCGTTCGATATAAATGCTCACACTACTTTAAGTTGTATTCTGCCTTCTAGAATTTTTTGGGTTTTTTGTTTGTTTGGTTGGTTTTTTGTTTTGTTTGTTTGTGTGGGTTTTTTTGTTGTGGTGTTTGGTTGGTTTTTTTTTTTTTTTTTTCTCTTTCAGCAACTTACTTTAGTTGCTGGGGGCTGCGAAACTGTTCCCCTTTCTCAAGGTGAAGCCTGATGTTCTCCACATTAACTTGTTTTGTGTGAAGAGCTGAAAGTTCCTAGACTTTAATGCTCCAAGATTGTCCCTGTGCAGGTTGCAGGGCCTTGACTGGTAATTCCACACAAACTCAAAGGACTATGATAGAGCTAAAACAAATTTCCTAGAAAAACACTAAATCTTGATGTGAAGATTTATTTTTTAAACTAAAAGGAGGCAATTTAATTTAATTTTAAAACTAAATGGTGGCATTCTTGTTAAGATATTTTAATAGATGTATGCTTAGTAGCGGCCAAGAAAATCTCGGTGTGTATTAAATTTCTATAGGGTATTAGTGACAGATGGCAAACTCATGAACAGGAAATGAGGATTCCTTTGCTACTCTCACTATCTCTCTGTTTGCTTACAGAAGTATGCTTTGGTTGTTCAAGGCCCTCGTGATGTGAAGAGAAAGGAACTGGTGTTTCTGCAGTTTCATTTAAATGGAACAGACCAAGATTTTAGTGCCATTGACTACCTTCTGTTTTCTTCTTTCCAAGACTTCATCAACAGGTACGTAAAGGGATGAGCCTGTAACTGCATTGAACTTGCTACAGCAATACTAGTGAAAGTAGGGCTTTTTTAGTAAAATCAGACAGGCTTTTTTTTAATGTTTGGGTTATGTTGGTGCTCTTTCATAATTTAGGTACTAGTCTTATTTTTTAGAAAATGAATTGAGGACTTTTTTCAGTGACAAAAACTGCCCTTCAGCTATGCTTCAAGCCATTTTTTGCTGCACTTTCTAAAAGTTTGACGTTTGTGCTGGCTTACTGCTGTCATCTGCTGTGGGTGGTCAGGAAGTGTGCTGTCCTGGGCAGTGTGCTCAGGAAGTGCACTGAGAACACTAACATTTCTATACTTTTTTTTTTTTTTTTTTTAAAAGCACTTACTATACAGATCAGATCCCTAGATTGATTTGTTGCAATTTCATTGAAAGATTAACTGTATTTCTTTGTATTACTAACTTTATATAAGACTCTACAGAATGATGTAATTTCATAGGTGGGGTTTTCAAAATTGCTTTGTGTTGGTTTGACATTGGTGCCGTTGGAGTGACTGATCAGCCGCCTTCTAATTTTAACAGGAGTGGAATTAATCCTGTCTTGAACTTTGTTGAGAGCCCTACCCTTTTTCCCCCCTTGTGAGAACACTTTCCATACTTAAGTGTTTAATTTTTGCTTTATTTTAAATTCAAGTTCTGTTGTTCTCTCTGATCCAGGTTGAAAGCTAGGCAAGAGAGATTAGTTTCAGTGAGACCTAACAAAAAGCCTTAATTTGGTAATAGTCAGACACTCAGATTAAAAGGGACAGGAGATAAAGGCCATATGCAGAACAAAATGAGGTGAGGGAGGGGAAGAGAAATAACAGATTTTATTATAACAAAGCATTCTTGGAGGCTTGGACATGATCATAGTGGTGCTTTTCAGATGGAGCAAAAACTGGAAGTGTTCAGTCGCAGTATCTCTGGGTGGGCAAAGACCAATTAGCTGAATTTAGTTTTTACAAAGTATTTCTACTTCAGTGAAGGAGAGATCTTAAGTCATTAAGTGCTTTCTGTAACTGTACTAAAACACCTCATAAAATGCTAATGTTCCAGATATTTTAGGCATTGATATTTTAGGGTGTGAAAATACCAGTTAAGAGTAGTGATGTAGAACGTGCTACTTGTTCCTTCTGTGTTGTTTTTTCTCAGTTTTTGTGGCTTGTGCTGCAGCTGGTGGTACATACAGTGGGACTGGTTCCAGCAAGGAACCGGTCCCACTGTGTGTGCACCTGTTTCTGTACTGCAAGATACAAGCGCTGTCTGAGACCACCCCTTGTGAAACACAGAGCAGAAGGCAAGGTTGTGTTGCATCTGGTTCCTGGCTCTTTTCAGAATGAGCCAACTTACCAAGGCACAACTGGGTCCGTGTGTCCTCAAGTCTTGGAAGATACGTTTCTGTGTTCATTGTATCAATTTGCAGATAAGCTGCTTTAAAGAGCTGTTTCTTCCCAAGTTAAAACATGTATGTCCTACTTAAACTGGCAATATTTCTGCAAACAAGCTGCAAGTATGCATGCTGCTGTCCCAAACGCTTGTGCCACGTGTTGTGTGGAGGCAGGTTAGGTGTGCAAAACAGCAATAAGCAGTATTGCAAAGGTCCCAGCTTCAGGGCTGTGTTTGTGCCAGTGTTGGTGAATTGTCAGATATCATCTGTAAGCTACCTGGGAGAGACCTGGATCGCAACCTCCTGCCTCCAGATTTGCCAGGCCAAACCGATTAGATGGCAGAATCAATCCTGGAAGAGATGGGGAAGTGTCGCTTTGTTCCTAGAGAAGCTGCCTTAGCTTGTTGTTGGAAGGTACCAGAGATGAAGCTGGGAGGGTGAAAGCTGAGCCTGGGTCATGTATGGAGCAAAGTGGTGTCTGTTCAGGGATGCATCCTTTGTGCCGTCTGCAGCAGGTAGCGGGAAGGGGAGTTAACACTGATTTTGAATTAACCTAGATAACGGTAAAATTGGCAAAGGTATGTAGGCCTTTAAACTGAGTAGTAAATGATCTGCATGTCTAGGTGAAATACATAAGAGAACCGGTTGTGCACAAGAGGCCAGTGATGTGTCTTTTATAGCTTGGTGCAAATTGCATGGATTGTCTTGCTCAGTAATGTCCTGGCATCTTGGGGCATGAACTGGACAAGCTCAGGGCAGGTTGAAAGTTTACATTCTCTCCTGACTACGAAGCGCATGTGAAACCACATGCATATGTGGAATGTACTCATTCTGTCCAACTTCCAGCAGAAGAGAAAATAGAAATTATTTGTGCTTCGTCAGTGGATGCTAAATTTAGGTGATGGGAAGTCTGGACTAAGATATCTGCAGAAACTGTTGTGTGTCCTTCCATGCGGCCTCTAAACACTTCAGTTACTGGCCACTGTTAACTACTTTTCCTGACAGAGTGTCTCACATACTGGTTATGAGAGCAAATTGTTAGCACTGTGTCCAGTTATCAAAGATACTGACGTATGCTAGAACTCATGAGATAGATATAATTACCTTCACAGTTTTTTGCCATGTCTGGAAACAGCTTCGGTTGGGCTGGGCAGGCAGACTGCTGCAAAATGTGTAGGGTATTCCATCATCTTAAATCGCAATCCAAAATCACTTGAAATTGGTGAGAAGAGTCCTGCTGTATCTACACCACGGTTTCTGTGTAGACAGTATTATGTGCAGCTCACTTTTGCTTTAAATAGCAATAATCATATCAGCAAAAGCTGCTGCAAGCATCAGCCATAAGCAATAATAACAGTGGCACCTAAAGACTTGTGTCTTTAAGGGTTTTTTTGAGGCATAGCAACTGGTGAGAACTCAAGTAAGGTCCCTTTGTTTCTGTCAAGGGTTTTGTTCTCTGCAGCTCTTCTGTTAAAATTGGAGCGACAGACTACATGAAACTGGCACTGCTTGCTAGTTTTGTTCTGGCTTTCACAGCATACTGCTGAACTGTGTGCTATTGTTGGCCTGCGAGTTGGAGGGATATGGCCACTGGCTTTATTTTTTTTTTTTTTTTTTTTTAAGATGGTGGCAGCTTCTGTCTGTACCATATTAATTGGAGGGAAGGAAATAATGAAACCCTTGCAAATTACCAAAAAAGTGTAGCTAAAAATACAAGTTCCTTTCCTGAACTGTCATTAGTGTAATACATGGGTTTTAGTAGAAAATCCTCTGACTATATTCCTGACGAACTGTTGTTAGGATAGCATGTAAAATAACTTAGTCACGTGAGATGATGAATACCAGTCTGAACAGGTCAGAGATTATTTAAGGGTCTAAACAGAGCTCCATGTTCACGCCTCTGGTCTGGATTGCTGTGTGCAGAGAAATAAATTATAACCTAGAAGGGTCGAGACTTTTGGTACCACACCATCTGTCCCTTTATTAGATCCCATGGCTGTCTGAGAGTTTCCCAGTCTGGGGGAAAGCAAAAGCAATAAACACAAATTGGGTTTGAGCCATCTGTGGTTTTGGCTCTTGCTGTTGCGTTGGAATCTGCTGGTGGGATGTCCTAAGTGGTCCCTGGCTCTGGTGGGTTGGTCCATCGAGATTCGTGTTAGAAGGATTAGCTGCAGAGCTAGAGCCCAGTCCAGAATTAGATTAGCAACTCCTGCAGCTGGGACAAATACAACCTCTCGTGGTCTGAGGGTGGTCAGCCTGTGCCGGGGCAGTGGGCTGCCTGTTAGTTCTTTGAACTGTCAATGGTTACCAGGGAACGTTGGCTGAGGGGAGGCCAGGGCTTTGTCGTTCACCTGAGCGAGACAGTGGCCTCTTGCGCTTCTCTTTCTCTGCTGTGATGTAGGAATTCTTGCATGGTCTTGAGGTACCATTAATATCTTGGTAGAGCCTGGTGCAGAGTATTCCAGGAATCTTACCATACATCTAAAGGACAAGGTAATAGGTAGAAGAACTTACTGAACAGAAAAAGAAAAAATTAGGTGCAGCCGCTGGATGTTGTCTGTCTTTGGGGTGATGAGAGTATTAAAAGAAACTGCTTGGAGAAACATTCTTCAGATTAAAATCCCTTGCCTGTCTCGCGTTCACTTAGTTGTGTGTGGTTTTTAAGCTGCGTTATTTGTCCCCTGCTGTCATTTGTGCAAAGCTTGTGCCTCTCTGCTCTGCTTTCCCTGCCTTTCTGCACCCCCCCTCCCTGTGGCTGTGGTCTGGGTTATGGGCACATGCAAGGAGGTCCCTTCTCAGATCAATTCTCCCCACAGCTTCTCCTAAGATATTATTAATCTTTCTTTTTCAAGCCTACAATTACTGTCGAAGGCAAAGTATACTACTGCTGTCTGCTTACCATGTAAGTTGTGGCTGTAACGTTCAGCTCTGTGTCATAACTTCCTGTGTCAATTTTCCATGTTGGTTTGGAAAGCATCTAGGATGCTGTATTTAGCCCTGCATTAGGCATATGACTGGCTGGCAGAGTGCTAATTATGTATGTTCCTCTGAGTGGCAAAGCACTGTGCTCTTCTGTACTGTCCCATCAGCTGCTGCTGTACTCACTTACCGAAGGGGAAAAAAGTCACTGTCGAATTAGGTCTCCCCGTGTCATTAGTTTGTATGGTGAGGAGCAGTTGGGCAGTGGGCTTTGTGCTGATGCTTTGCTTTGTGTCTTCCTTCTGAGGGTTAGAGATGTGCACTGCCATCCTGTTGGGATCACTAAACGAGCACCTAATGTCACAAATCATGCCATAAAGATATTCCTAACCTGCTAAAATGCTCTTGGAATATCATCTGTCTTGATGGGTAGTGAAGTGTATTAGTTTTTCTTCCCAGAAATGCTTTTCCTTTGTCTTTGTATGCACAATGGAGTTCTGTGTTTGAGCCCATCACCTGAAGCCCTGGCTTGAGAGCAACAGCTGTGCTAAGTTTTGCCTTCCTATGAACGCGTGCATATTCATCTGTTAAGCCTGAGCAGGCAGCATAGTACAGAGCAGCCATCAGGGTGATACTCTTTTTATCAGTCTGGGCTCTTTCTGCTTTGTAGACAAGACAACTGGGTTTGCAGGGAGGAGTCCCAGTTCCGAAAACTAAGGAAAAAGACAAGAAAAGGGCAAATCCACCCAATGCTGGTACAGGACAAATCTTCCCGCTTGGTCTGCTCTTTGGGATGAGAGCTTGCTTCTTCAGCTCTGCTTTTCTTCCTCATTTCTTTGCACCTTTCTTTGAAAGCTCAAAGTACCTTACTTTCCCAGTAGACCTACCCATGCATGCTGTCTGCCATACTCTTTCGCTTTAACAGGAAGAGGGATTTAATCATTGGAGTCAAAACCCTTTCCCTTGTCTCAGGGACCAGGCTTATTGCATAGAAATGACATGAAAGTGGCTCAAATGACAGTACTGAGGAGCTCCATGTAATGGTAATGGTTCCAGCATGTTCTGTGCAGTTGGTAGAGGCAGGATGGAGACCAGACATGCCTTAGAGCTGCCTCTTTACCACTTGTGACGTGAGGGGTATAAGAAGGATTAAAATGGCTTAGGGTCACAGTATTAAAAAAAAAAAAAGACACAGAGCAGTCCTGTGGTTCTGGGGCTACAAATATCTGTGACTGTGTATTGGGAAAACAGCCATGTTATTGCAGATGTGAGCCTTACACCAAAGGTACAGTGTTCCCAAAATAATAGAAATACACTAAATGTAAATTTCAAAGCATTTTAACTATGTCTGCATTGCAACCAATTTATTTGCATCCCAGAAATGGGGTGAAGCAGCCCGCCCTGCCTCTAGGCTGTTCCATCTTTTGCTTCCCAGCATTGTGGTGAGTTGTTTCCTGGGGTCCTGGCTCTGCTCCTTTCTGTCCCAGAGATGACAGATGAGCAGAATGAAGCTCCCTGATAAGGCAGAACAAGCCCTAAAGGCAGGCAGAAGGCTGGGCCAGTAGGGCACCCAGGTAAGTCTTCTGTGGTTCAGAACTCATTGAGTGGAAGTGCTAATGAAAACACCACTCCTCACAGTGTTTTAGGTGTGTTTCAACTACTAAAATTCAGCATGAAAGGGACTGTGAACATGTTTTGAAGTGCCTGTAGGTCTGACATTCTCCTGCCTACAGTGCTCAGCTACTGCTCTGAGTTTGGTCAGTAAAGTAATGGAGTTTGGTCAGTAAAGTAATGGAGTTTGGTCAGTAAAGTAATGGTCTTTCTCCTTTAGTCCAGAAAAAGCAGAGTTCATGAAGGACTGTGAAAGTTCATACTCCAGCTGGAAGTTTTCCGGAGGCTTTCGAACTTGGGTCAAGATGTCCTTGGTGAAAACAAAAGAAGAAGATGGTAGTGAGACTGTTGAATTCAAACAAGAGGTAAAAAAAAAAAAAAAAAATTAAAAATCACCAGTAAGAGTTTTTTGGGACCTCTTAGTTTATTGAGAACTAATTACTGCCATGGTTTTAATGATAACTGGCCAACAGAACCAGTTCTTGGGGCAAACAGCAATATGAGTTGGAAGAAGGGTGGGTGGGTTGGTTAAGTGAAACGTCAGGAGCTTGTTTTTTTGCTTCATCACATTCATTATGCCCCTTGCCACTGAGCAGTTTTGGCTGTGCAGTTACTTGGATTCTTTCTTAACATGGAGGGGTTCTGTAAAAGCATAAATATCTTGATGTGCGTGGCTGTTGGTAGGGCCTAGTGACGCATCTTGGGAGAACATCTAATGGGGAGGCCAGAAAATCCATGCCTTGAAGGTGTTGTTAAGTGACAGCTGTAGTCTGAGTTAAGGGTCTGAAGAGACTGGCGTAGAAATATTGACACAGCTACCTTTAGTTCAAGGTGGGGAACAATTGCCAAAGGAATTGTCTAAGTAATAGCTGGTATTGGAAAGAGGTATTGTTTAGGTTACCACGAGGACTGATGTTAGGATGAGGAGGTAAACATAAGCCCTGTACCCTTTGCAGCATTCTCCTGTGTGCTTTTTGTTTGTGTTTGGGATTTTTATCTGTTGAGTATCCTTAGAAACATGGAGTAACTTATCTGCTTGCATCATTTCAGACTAGAAAATATGCAGGTTGAAGGTACAAACTTAGCTGGAGATGAAATTAGTTTCTGTTCTGTTCATACTAACAGACAGGAGACTAATTGTGTTTTGAGTTTATCTTGCTCCCAGCATTGACTGGGGAGAAAGAAGTCTTATTGGTGATGAGAAATGAGAATTTTAAGAGCAGCCCTTTTCAGAGAGTATGTGTTTCAGAGACAACACTGTCTCTTAGTGTGTGGTACACTTGGAAAGAGTACTTTGTGGAGATTAAAATGAAGCAGAACCTTCAGTTCTCCTATCTCTCATTCCCACAGTTAGGGCCTTATGTGGCAAAGCTGTAAGGGAAGAGCAGACCTGTGACTGAGGTGGGTGCCCTCCTGGTCTAAGGGAGGAAGACAGGAGGCAAAGCCCAGATTCATGCAAGTCCCAAACTAATGCCTTAGCATGGAGGAGAGGAAAGGATGCATCAGTCAGCTGCTGCCGTGGAAGTGCTAACAGCAGTTGTCTGTCCATCCTTCATCTCCTACAGCTCTGTATCACTTGCCCTTACCTAGTATAGGATGTTTTTAAAGTCCTCCTTTGTGTGCCCAAGTCTAACGTGTCGCTAAGTGGAACCAAAAGGCTGACTCAAACTCAGAAAAAACTGAGCCTTTTGTGACCATGAACAGACATTTAGTCCAGCAGACTCTCTGATTGTAGGGGTAGGTGAACACTGTTGGGTTTTATTGGTTTTGTGGGGTGGTTTGTTTTTTTTTTTCTTTTAAAATAAAAGCTAGGAAATAGGAATTGGTACAAATGTGAATTTTGGGTTTCAGATCCCTGTTAATAATACGGTAGAAGTTGAAATAGCTCAGACACAAATTGTGCTTGCTTTGTTTGACAGTACAATGTCTGCTCAGGTTGTATAAGGAAACCCCTTGGCCTTTCAAATCTAAAACTGGGGGATGGCACACCAGAAAGATGGATACAAATATGAGGTCACATAGCACAGTCAGGCAGCCTGCTGACTAGCCCAGTAGTCACTCCTTTGTCTTGTCTTCCTTTCCCATTGCCTTCATTTAGCTTTGTGTACTGTTTGTTTCCTGGTATACGGTTTTCTTGAATGAGTGTAGTTAGGGTAATGTTACGCTGCAGTAACTGAATGAGCTGTAGACTAGGGCAAGTCTGCAGCAAAGGTGTGTGACCAGAAAACACGAGGTGGTAAAGCTCCCATATGCTCTGACTAGACACATGGAGTATTCTAGCTCCTGTTTCTATGTGTTTGCAGGGGTGTGGGGAAGATTGATAGCAATCTTGAAGTATTTGTAAAGAAACGAAGCTGTGGGAGATAGTAGGTTTTTGTAGTAGGTCATCCCTCATCTAATACCTGCTGAATCACTGCTTTCATACCTATCATTCCTGTCACAATCCTGAAGTAAAGTTACGGTACTGCTGGATTTGTTACTTCCAGTACAGTATTAAACTAATGTAGGAAGAGGTGTGGTGCTCCCTTGTGTGCCCACCAAGCTGTAAATACTCCTGCAAGGGTTGGAGGGTTGGTTGTCACTTGTTCAGCTGTGCTTGCCCCTTGGGTCACTGCCTGGCTCTCGAGCAGCTTGGCAGGGGATTAGTGCACACTGTGCTGCTGCTGCCTGTGTACAAACCCTGCGTGGCTCCCCTCTGGGCTGGGGGGTGCATTACAAGAAGAGATCAATGTTTTTCTGAGCCCTGTGTCTTGATACTTTCCCAATTGTGGTTTTTAAGACTGTGATTTCATGCAGCTGTAACATTGATCTAGTATCCTAAACTGTACCCAGGTGGAATTGTGCTAAAGCTCTCTGCTGGTCAGTGCACATTTCAAATGGTAACCTAGTTAATGGGCAGTACTGGGAAGTACAGATGTAACTGTTAACATCTAGGCTTCTTTCCTTTCCACTTTCATGATGCACTTACTAGCACCTAGTTTATTCCACAAGTGATTTAAAAAAACAACTTCCTGCCACCATGGTGTGGTTCTCTGGTAAATAAAAGTAATCTAGCATTCATTCATGAGACCTTTCCAAATGCTGTATTAGTCCAAGCAAATGAATTTTGTAAATTAAGTTTCCCCCCTTGAAAGGGAAAAACTATGTAATAAAATAAAGTCCCTGGCTACCGGCATAAAAAGGTTATTGCAGTGTTTTACTGAGTGAGAAACAGGAAAAGAACATGAGACAGATGGAGGAAATGGCCCTTTCCATATTTAGGACCCTGGTGTTCCAGGTAGAGGAAGGCTGAATTGGAAGTCCCTGAACAGCCTCCTATTTTCACTTTCTTACAAGACTTTTCTGTTGCAGTTCTGTGTTACAGTTACACCCTTGTAATGTGTACTTTTTTTTTCCCCCCTGCTCTCTCCAGACCAGCGTTGTTAACTATATTGACCAGAGAACTAAACAAAGAAGTGACCAGCTGTTTTTTGTGGTATTCGAATGGAAAGATCCTTTTATACAGACTGTTCAAGATGTGAGTAACAATAGTCCCTTTTTGAATCAGAGCCTGTCTGTGTGTGTACATGCATGCCTCTTATCTCACTCCAAGCAGAAATTCAGAGGAAGAATAAGGTTTACTTCTGGACTTTCAGTCTAGGCTCTTCCTTCTATCCAGTAACGCACATTCTACAGAGGTCAAGACCATCTGATGCCTTTCCCTCAGGTTGGTGGCACTCAGCCTTCTGTTTGCAGCAAGAGGTACATGTAGCATGTGTCCCCTGTGCTCTAGTAAAGTATAGCTTTGGGCCAAGTCTGAACTGTTGGCTTCAATAAGTGTGCTTGGACAATTTTTTTAATTACTTTTTTATTAATTGACAAATCAGAATAATGAAGATAGCCTCGTGTATTTTTATCTGTTATTATAACAGAATTTGGTACTACATATTCAGTATACAAAAAAGCACTTTAAAATTTAGTATGCTGCAGCCAGAGGCACAGGACAGACAGACAGGACCACTGTCAGTCACTGGAGTGCCTTAAAAGTGCACAGGTGTGTGCTGTGGGCACCAGTGTTTTAGGCTTGTGAGCTAGGTCTTGTTTCCCTGGTGTTGTAGGGGTGGTGGTCAGATACATTTACCCTCCCCAGAAAAATGCAAAATAGAGTGTGCAAAGACAATCTTGTTTAAAATTTTGTGTTTGTGATTAAAAATGGCCTTACCTGATAACCAAATTCCATCACCAGAAAAATCCACAGAGTCCTCATACTCTTGCCCCAAACCAGGGTGTGAATGCAGGCCCTGTGGGGCAGGCTTGGGTAGTTGGTCCTTTGCACTCCTGCTGTCCTGTCTGTGCTGGGGGCAGGCACCCTCCTCAGCCCCGAGAGCCCAGCCCTGTTCCTGGCTCCTCTGCCAGGTGGGGTTCACACCTCTGCCCTCTCCAGGCAGCACCACTGCTTTTAGGAGAATTAACAAATCCACAAAGCCTGTTTAAGACTTCCTGGCTCTGGTGGTGACCTAGGGATGCTATGCTCACACTGACTGTCAGAGCTGCATACCCCAGGGCAAGTCCCAAAGCTGTGTGCTGCTTTGTTGTGGCCTAAGCCTAGCTCTGCTCCCTTCCTCAGAGATCCTAGATGTCATCCTTGTGCCTAGAGGTTCAAGGAGAATTGCAAACTGTAAACAAACTTAACTACTCTCGAACCAAGTATAGTTAAAAAAAAGAAAAAAACCAACTTGCTGTAGGTCTGCAGAAACAGCTGCCCCTGTCAAAAGCTGGTTTAGCATTACAAGGCTGTCTTGCTAAAGCTTTCCAGGAGTTGCTTCTTTTAGCTTTGTCTTCTGGAAGATCATCTTTAATGTGACTGCTTATTTTTGTGAATCTTTAATAAGTAATATAGTAAGTTTAATCTATAATCTTAAAATTAGCAATTTGACTGCATCTCTGAAGTTTGAAATGGTCTAAAAGGAATTTAGCAGCTAGTACAGTGCTTTTTTTCCCCTCATGGGAGGAATCGGAAAACCATGGCATGAGGCAGAGGAGGCACTGCAGGCCCCTTTTGCAGCGTGAAGGAATATGCTGCAACACACTTCCCTTTGCAAAATGGAATTGATTATTGAATAGTGTAACATATGCTGAGTCAGATGAAGGGAATAACATTTTTAATTAATCTCTTTCAGATTATCACAGCAAATCCCTGGAACACAATTGCTCTTCTTTGTGGTATCTTTTTGGCTCTGTTTAAGGCAGCAGACTTTGCTAAGTTAAGCGTCAAATGGATGATCAAAATCCGAAAGAGACATCTGAAGAGGAGTCGTCAAGTAATGAACCACATAAGCTGAGACTAAGGCTGCCTTTTAACTATTCGTAGCAGAAGGGATAGAAAATAACTGGAATAACCTTCGGTCAGCAATACAGCAATTAAAGATGCAAGCCAGGTATGTCTTCTTCCAGAGAAGCAATGGCTGGTGAACTGGCCCTCAAATTTGAGAAGGGAACTAACTCTAGGACAGGTCTAACAAACTCATGCTTTTCTATTCCAAATTTAACAAACTTACCTCAGTATATGGGGGGACCAGGGAGGAGGGAGAGAATTCACTAATGTTCAGAAAGTCACCACTGTAGAGGCCGAGCTCTGTAAGACTGGACAGTGTTTGAATGCTGCTCGGGCCAGGAGACCTTTTTAGCTTCCCTGGGAGCTATGACCCGTGTCTGCTACTGTCACACAGCTACTTCCTTGACTGGGGTGAGTGGAAGGTAAAGCGCTCAATAAAACAGCCTGGCCTCCACTCTCCAAAGTATGTGTTAAAACAAAATACACTGGAATTGTTGTATGTGTCATTTTTGACTTATAGTGACTTTTAATATTAAAAAAATAATTCAAATAAGATACTGTGTACATTCTTTGAAGCTACCTGCTCTCACATTCAGCTGGAGCTTCACAGGAGGTGGTCCAGGCAGGAGTGTTACTGCCAGAGGATAAGGTAAAAATCAAAAATCTGTTCCTGATCCTTCTACCTCGACATAAACTCAAGCAACTCAGGCACGTGAGCTGACGTTAGATTTCAAAGCCTGGCTCGAGCTGTTGCTCATCCCTCTTTACCCCAGTCTTTGCTAAGGAAGTGAAAAATCATCTTTCATCAGGCTGGCATTTAAATGTGATTCTCCATTCTATAGAGAACGCATGCTAATGAACTGTGCTGGGGTGGCGGTGTCTTTTTCTTCCTTATAAGTCCCTTAGCTCAGATGCCCAGCTCAGACAGAGGGAGGCTGCAGGGCAGGAGCGCACCGCTGCCCGTTTGCTCTGAAGGCTTTGTTGCAAGGAAAGGGGCTTCTTCCGTCCCCTGCTAACAGAGTAGTGACAGAGTAGTAAGCCTATGAAAAGTAACACCCTTTTTTTTTTTTTTTTTTGCCTTCTAAGGAAGCATTTTGGAACAAAATTTACTACTTTCAGCTGATTTCCAGAGCAAATCAAGGTACTGCATTAACCAAACACAGCCTTAAACAAGAGCACAACAGTTCACTGTAGTAACAAAACCAAAAGAGCAACAGGGGCTGCAGGCACAGAGGCAGCACCTGGGTTCTCCTGTGCCCAGACAGGTGAGGGCAGGAAGAAGTTACAGCCTGCCAGGCACTTACAGTTCCTGCTCCTGTCCTGTCATGCTTCAAACAGCCCAGACTCTGCCATTCAAATTGTGAATCAACTTGATCACACTTTTTTTGGGGGGGTGGGGTGGGAGTTTCGCTGCAAGAACAGGTTCAGTGCAGCAGGGCCAATATTGCAGCTGCCTGAGGTGAGGCAGGTTACCACAGTGCCTAGCAAGTGAATGAGGTTGAATAGAGGGGAGAAGCAAAGACAGAACGCTGCGCTGTTGAAGCAAACTCTCTGAGCTACTTCATCCCCTGGGGAATGGGACAGAAACCTGGGGGGAAGAGAGAGGGGGGAAGAAGAGCCCCACACTTAGACCATCCATATCAAGACAAACATAACAGCCTATGCTGGCAGGAAAGCCTTCCCCTGACTTCCCTGGTCATCTTACAGCCCTTTGCTTTCCCAAATACACTGCTGAGGGCCTGTTCTGCAGGTAAGAGAGACAACTGAGCTTTCTTAATGCCTTGCTGTCAAAGAAACACAGGCCAGCAGCTATTTCTTGGATTTTTACAAAAATATTTAGAAACACCAATTTGATCAGGTTGATCACTGATGCATTCAGCTGCATTTTTTGTTCTTTTTTTGTTAATGAGGTCAGGGAAGGTAAAACAGAAGACAACTTAGCCACAGCTCCAGGGTAAGTAGGAGGTGTGGTTAAATAAAGGATACACCTTTCTGTAGTATTTAATGTCCTTTTTTTTTTTTTTAAAAAAAAAAAGATAAATCCCATAGTGACTGAAATTGACTACTACATCTCAGCTATCAGATTTGCTGTTCTATTAAGGCAATGTTGTTACTGGAGCAGGCCAGCTGATTCCAGCCAAGAAACTTTTCTATACCTATTTACAGGAGCAATTCTAATAGCAAGTGTTGCACAATTCATTTGAAAGAGCATTGTTTTTCTATTACTTACTCTTAATGTACATAACTAATTTTTTTTAAGAAGTCTTAACCACCACAGATGTCAGTAAGGTAAGTATGAGATTCCCCTGCATCTGTGTAATTTATAATAATATATAATTATTAATTCCTTTAGACTATAGGACAGCTGAAAATATTTTCTCTCTCAAATTGGGGGTTTATTTTTCTATGGAAAAAAGGCACTAAAGTACTAAACTGCAGTAAACGGCATCTGCGCAACAGTCATCTCCCTCCCGAGCTGGCAAAGCGCACCCTGGCAGCCCCACAGCATCTAACATCTGGTTTCAGGGCTTCAAGAAGCACCATGAAAAAGAAAAAAAATTTTTTTTTTTTTTTTTTTTTTTTTTTACACCCTTTTTTCCCCCCCCGATTTTAGGCAGCTGCTTACCATGGTAGTGTCTACTTCGGTCAGCTGATCATGTAGTCTTTTTATATAAAAACAGGAATGTAGAAAGCAGCAGTGACTTGGTTTTCATCAGAGCGAGGTTGTGGAAGTGTAAGCCACTTCAGGCAGTGTTATTCCCATTTCCTTTGTGAAACACAACTACTTAGAGACAAAAAAATGAATTAACAGTAAAAATGTAATAAAGTTGCCTCAAGCAGTGTAGTCGAAACGTTCTCCTGCCCTGGAAACTGCTTGAGTAAAGCCAGTAAGCCAGCCCAGGACACCTGCCTCAGCTGTTCTGACCGCCACCAGCCTGTGCTGAACAGAGCAGAACAAAGCCTTCCACCCCCCCACCCCAAAAAAACCAAACCCCAGCAGCTTGCGCCTCCAACACTTCTGCCACTCAGTGAAAAGCCACGGCTTCTTCAGACAGATGCATGGTTCAAAGGTTGTTTGTAAAAGCTATTCTAATTCTCCTGGTCTGTATAAACACAAAGATGTGATATACAGCACTAAATACAAACATAAAGACTTTATTGAATGCTGCGCAATTCCCCAAAGATCTTTCATTACAAAAGTTTTCCACACAACTGCAATTTAAGAGATTGGAATGGTACTCTGATAAAAGATGTGAAAAATACTTTATCAAGTAAACAGACAAGACTTCTATTGTCAACTTTCCACCTTTAAGAAACAGACTGCATTTTCTTTAAATAAAACAAGGAACTATTTAGTGACATCCTGCCCTCCTCACTAAAAAAAAAAAGTAACCCTAATTTTGGTCTCATTCTTCAGTCTATGAGATGCTAAAACTAATGCAGAAACATCCAAGGCAGTCTCTAGGAGACCTGCACTACCCTGCAGGGAGTCCGTGGGCTGATGAGGAGCATCATTGATGGGCTCTCGGGAGGAAGCTCCATCCTCAGCTGTAGCAGGAGGAAATCTCTAAGCAGCCCAGGACCAAGAGGCAGCCAGCACAGGGCAGAGGCGCTCAGCAAGTGGTAGGTCAGGCGCCAGGACCACCCCAACCTCTTCGAGCCAACTTTCTCTCCCTGCTTTGCCTCATTCTAATGGGAGCATTACGTAAAGCTAAATCCAAATCGGAATTCAAGGACAGCACCCCATCCGCCTTTCTTTCAGTGCTGTACGGGGCCCATACTGAATATCTCAAGTTACTGGTAACGTACCTCGGTTTTATTTGAGAAAATACAGCACAACTAGAAGCCTTTTCTATAGTCTTATCCAAAGTATGCAGCGATGTGAAACGCACATATAAAACAAGAAAAAAATGTACATAGCAAACTATACCACCTATGTGCAACACAATCAAAAATTCAAGTCATAATTCTCACCACTCCCGTAATTATTTCACTCATTAAGGATGATAATTCAGTTCTATGAAACGTTGGAAGTGACAGTATATCAGTAATTAGACAAATTTACAATATGCTGTGGTAATGACATCGCTTATCTGCTGTATTTAAATTCAAAACTTTACATTTGCCAGAGAAAAAAATTGTCCGTTTCTCTTATATACTGATGAGGTTTCTTTTGCAAATCCTTATCTATTTCAAAAGGGTACAAAAAAGTTGTGTCTGCCAAGGGGAGGTGGTCGTTTCTTTTATTTGGCACCTGTATTGTGTGCATTCAGCACAGTGTGGGCGCTGGTCTGCTTTTCTGCCATGGCCTTCTTTAGCTTTAACTCCTCCAGCTTCCTCCACAGCTCCTCACGTTCCAATTCTTTCTTCTTCTCTCTGTAGAAGAGAGTGAAGTACATTTGCAGATGAGTTTTAAAGTGCAACGTGGAGCTGCGGTTACTTAACGACCGTGATTTACATTTCATGACTCCTCTAAGTTTTTCTCCAGAGCTATTTTTAGAGGCAATTACAGTTTCCTCTACTAAAAAGCGAGTGTACAAATTGGTAACCGTTAGTAGTAAAACTGTAACTTTGCTCCAACAAACTCAGACAACTGCAGTAGCATGGTTTTGCACTGATGGCTGCAGTTCGAAGGAGGTTCGTTATCACATGCAAACAAATTAAGGGACTAAGCCTCTTTGGGGCAGGAAAGCAGGACTCTTGATAGGAGACCGCATCTGGTCTCAGCTGGCCCCGGAAAACATGCACTGCCTCCCTTAGTCTGACAGTGCTGCTTGGCAGGGCAGCAGGGTAGGAGAGGGGCTTTAGCTGAGCTATGAAGTGTCCTCCAGCCCAGCGTTCTCCAGACGATGCCCCTGAAGCAGCAGAGCCAGCAGTGGGAAGGGGAGCTGGGGCCTTCCTGCCGCCTCCCCAGGGCTTCAGCTCCCACCACACCCACACCGACACCCCCGACTTGGGCACCTTGACTCAAGTGACAGCCAGCAGCAAATATCTGATGCTCTGAGCTCCACTACAGAACCCCAGAGCCGCAACACTTAAGTTCCGTTTCTTTTCAGCTGGTACCTTCTAGGTACGTGTTCATCAATGTGCACTTGGAAGAAAAATCACTACCTTTGCCTTTCTGCTTTATATGAGCTTGTGAGTTCATCGAAAAGCTTGCCGTTCATCTCCATCAGGGTCTTCAGCACATTGTATACCAGGGCCACAATGGTTCTACAACAGAAGGAGCACAACCCCTAGAATCACTCAACACAAAATTAACTGCAGTTAAACAAGCGTTCAATTTCTTTTTTGGACTTCTTATTTAAGACACTACTGTAAGGTCAGTGAGTTTCTGAAACAAAATACTATAATTTCCTCTAAGGTAATAAAATTCATATTGAAACTTTTTTTTGAAATGGCTGTTTAACCTTAAGTTCCTGACTCTTGTAATTGCACAGGAGATAATTCTTGGTACTGTGGCTGTACTATAAAGCCATTCAATTATGTTAACGGCTAATAAACTGAGTTTTAACAACAATTTTGTAATATTTGGGTAAGGAAATATGAAAGTCTAGAAAAATAAACTGGCTAATAGCTTCAAGACTGGGCAGAAGAGTGCAGCAGAGGAACTACGGGCACATGGTTTAATACAGCTGCTAAAAGCAAAGCCTTCCTGGGCAGCGCAGTTTTGCTGCATAATGGCCCACTGGAGAACTGAATTGAGAACTTCAGGTAATGGCTTCTGGTTCCTTCGTTTACTTACGACACTCAACAAGCTTGAGCAATACATGGCTGCCCAGATTTCCACGTTAGGCATTACTGGCCTTTTTATGAAGGCATTCCTATTTCAGTAAGTTACCTTGAATATAGCGGTGTTTATTTCCTTTAAACCCACTCTTAATTACACACAAATGCAAAAGCCACAATAAACCCAAACATTAAAAGGGTGCCTATCATTAAGCTTCTCACTCATCAAAGTGGGTGAACTGTCTTCCCCATCCTTCCGCTTCTCACTGCAGTACCGATCGTAGAGCAGGGGTGCGACTTCAAAAAAATGGGTGGAAGGAAAACCTGAGGGAGTCACCAAAGGGCCAGGTTTGGCTGTTCAGTACGCTCCGTCCACTGTGGCACTGGGAAATCTCCCAACTACTCATCAGAGGCCCTGTGCTCGTTCAAAACGCACGGTGCGCTTAGCCTGCCTACGCACATTTTTGGGGGGTTGTTTTTTTTCCTCCCCTCTCTTTTTTGAACGCAGGCTTTCATGTGAAGACACATGCTTATTTGGACTTGGGTTTTCTGAGAGGAAAAGCTTGATTTTGAGCGAGTAGTTAAGTCCATATCAGACAGCTAGATGGACACAAGCACATTACTCTGCCCTCCAAACCAGATTAAAACCAAGAGGTTAGACTTTCTTCCTCAAACATCCTGGTCCTCAAGGTATACGGTTATCCTGTGTCTTTCACTTCCTTCATAAAGAACAACTTCTGTCTGCCGCTAGGGAAGGAGGGGCATCCTTCACATTTGTTGAGGTCCCCAGTACTATTAGTGCTTCGAGAACTAGTTTTCAAAAATTAATATTGTCTCAGCTGACACATTTGCAATAGATGCAGCATCTAGATAAACGCAGAATAATTCAGAGCCTCTACAGGCTTAAAAGAGGACACCTGATTTCGCTTCAAAGTTGCAGGAGGCTCCTGCCCACCTTGGCTTTCACCTGTACAATCTTTACCTCCCACAAATTGACTTGCAACTCGGGTCAGGATGCTGGGCACAAGCAGACTTTGCTTCTTAGTATTTCAACGTCATTACTGCTTCTTTCAAATGTGATATAAAAATACTAACTTTTAACCTGTGGCATTGAATATAAGGTGAAGTAGCGACTTATTTCTCTTTCCTACCATACTTTGTGGTGCTGTCTTTCCCCCTCTTATCTCACTGGGCAGCTGTAACTACTTACAGAGACACTGGCAGAATTTTGTTCATCTGAAGGAGTAAAGGACTGCAAAGCGTAAACATAGCAGAAGCATCCCCTGGCAATTGTTTTGGTCTAAGGAATATTAATTTGCATTTTTAACTAATGCACGAGCTCAGTTGTCATTGCAGTATCAAGACCATTATCCGATTTCCACGTACTTTTTCAGTAAATTCCAGTTCTCCGTCACAGCAATGCAGAACAGCAAAAGCATGAGAGCGCTCAAAACGACGCCCATTTTAGCACCCATAACCTCACATTGATTTCATCTGGTTTAGGTAAAAATGAATTCACATTTACAAGCTTACAAGCCAAACCTGAAACAGCGGACAATTTATTTATGGTCCTATAGATAAAGTTAAACATTACATACGGATTCCAGTGTTCTTTGGAGATCTTGTATAAACTGCCAAACATAATTGGTAGGATTTTATCAATGTTCTCCTCAATCAGGCTAAGAATATATTCATTATTCCAGAAGTACAAAGCTCTTTCTGCAACCTGAAACACAAAGTGTAGGGGTCAGCAGCCACTCAAATCACTACAAGTATTTTTTTTATACTAATTTGGGTTTGTTTGTTTTTTTTTTTACCTGAAAATGTGAGCTGGACACACACTTGGATATTTGCTTAAATAAAGGCTCTTCTATTTTTTTGAATTGTGTTGGTTCTATTACATCTAAGATTTCTTCAATTTCACCTAAAAACATTACCTGTTTGTATAAAAGAAACAGGTCAAAAAGCATGAGAATGTTTTATATCACCAGAGTAAGCAGAAACAAACTACAGCTCCTACATTAGCCATGAGTCCTGCCAGGAACACCCTACGTAACTACAGTGCAGCAGACAGCCACAGGCTTTTTGCAGCCTGAAAGAAGTCAATCATCAGCTTCTGCTCCCAGGTTACAGCTCATTTCTTCTTTTATGCGATTGCTCTAAACACCTCAGAGAGCTGCGGCTGCAGAATACAGGGGTTTGGTTGGTTGTTGTTGGGGTTTTTTTGTTTGTTTTTTGGTTTGTTTTTTTTTTTTTTTTTACAGTTACAAAAAACCCGCTAGAGCATTTTATTTCTTCAAGAACAGCTGCAGAGGTGACCATTATCTGAGATCTCCAAAGCAGCTTTTGAAGGAGTAAATAGTTTGTGCCCATTTTAAATGGCAGCCAGCAGAACACTAGGTAGGTGGCACAGAAAAAATTTAACGCCACTCACACAACCAGGGACAATGGTGTTGAGGGACCCCACTTTTAACGAGCTGTCAGGGGGTGGGATCTGGTGGCATAAATCAAACTCCCGATTTTTAAACTCATTTTAACTACATAGAAGAAACCAGGAAAAAATTAATTTCCCCAAGACCACGTGAAGTTATTTTTATACTACGGAAAGAGAACGTATGGGTGCTTTACCAGACACTCGCTCGGTATCTCAAATGCTAACTCAGTCTGTGTCTCACTGCAGATGACTACCTCCAGCTGAAAGAGAACGTATGGGTGCTTTACCAGACACTCACTCGGTATCTCAAATGCTAACTCTGTGTCTCACTGCAGATGACTACCTCCAGCCGGGTCTGTATCTACTAAAATACCTCACGCCTCAGCAAGTTGCTTCTCTGTGCAATATATATTTACTAGAATGCCACTTTTAATATCAGTTGAGCATAGTAATGCTATAGTAAACACAGACATACGAAACGATTGCATCGAGTTGCGTGACAGAGACAAGTGCCTCAAGAAGCTTCAAGAACTGCGAGTTTTCTGCAAGATGAGGCGCGTGAGCCCGCCACCCTACATTTTACATCACAGCAGATGCCAGAGACAACAGACGCCAGAGACAAGAGACAAAACCAACCTCTTTCTGACTGCAAGTTTTTGGCCAGAATTTGAGCAGTCCTCTGATTACCTACATTCAAAATACAAACAAGTTAAAGCAGAACGCATTTCTATTACATATTTGATAAGATAAAAAAAAAGTACTAGTTTGCTTTTCCTTATCCAGAGGTTCAATGAAAACCGAATACAGCTAAATGCAGTTCCACTGAAAATAAATACCCCGCTGTCTCATTTAAATATTTACCTAATTTAGGTTATCAGAATAACCCTTCTCACTTCACAAGCCTTTGATTATCCATTTGCACTCCACTCCTATCCCAGTACATACATCGGTTGATAGGATGCCAATAACATCAAAGCATCACAAAATGAAGTTAACTCCCCTGTAGCTGGATTTCCCAGAATATTTTTTGTCTTCTGCTCATCCACGCTTCGGGGAGCACCTGCCCTGGCCTCAAGGTTTAAAGCCCGAGAGCAAGAGGTCTACGCTGGCTGCACAACCCGGGCTATACGGAGGAGTCACAGTCTCCGCCACTTCCTTTTTTCTTCTAGAATTCAAAATGTTAAAAACTGGAAACTACGGGGAAAAAAAAAAAAAGATGCAAACTTACAGAGAAAAATATATTCCAGTATCTACAGTGGAAACTATCTTACACAAGACTGGAAGAAAATTTTAGCAAAACTTAATTAGAAAGTACAGCCCTCAAGAGGAAGGGAGGGAAAAAAACACCACACAAACAAAGGCTGGAGGCCCGTTTCCTAGAAACAAACATTTGACATGGCATCTAAATTACAAAATTAATGGTGGCTAAAACACCCCTGTATGTCTTGGAAGCAGAAACATTCTCAGAGCCATATAAACTTTCATTCTGAGGAAAGGACCTCTATTTTTATGATACAACAGCACCTAATTGACCACATCCAACTGTAAAACGCAACTGTTTTAATACCTTCAAGATTTAATTTTTGCCATGTTGATTCCCCTCCTCCCCAGCTTCCCAGCTGGCCTTTTTATTCACAGCTATGTGTACTACCAAAAGTGACTTTCCAGAGGAAAAAAATAGATTTTCAGTGTCCACCAGTCTTTATCCTAGGATACACACATATCCTACTGCTACAAAACTGAATGTCACATCAAACGACACCAAGCAAATGGAGAAGCCTCAGGCAACTGGTAAAGTCCTATGCTCAAATCTGCAAAAAGGAAGCAAGTTACAAGGAAAGGGCCTCGACCGTATAGTCCTACCTGGCTGGCTGAAAGCTACAGGCAACAAACACAAACACCTTCAACTGACGCCTGAGGAAGGAGCAGGTGGCCTGGGATCAGCCCACACAGGTGACATCTTTGCCGCCTGGCCCACGAAGGCAGAGCTCCCCCCCACCAGCCAGCACTGACCAGGCCTCCTTGTTGCCTCCACGGACAGGGCAGAAAAGTGGGGCAGAGGAGAAATTTTGAGCTCCCCGTTCACTGCAGTTACCCGATCCGGCAGTCCTTCACTCACTCGCTTCTCCTCCGCCCTCGAGGAGTCAGACTTGCATGAATTAATTACATGTGTTTCTCTAGATTCACAATTTAGAGTAGTCTATGTAAATACACTTCAAATCTAGGGCCATCTTCTGTTAATTAGCTTGTAACTGAATGACTGTTGTATACTACAGAGATTTTGTATTTTTAAAGAACAAACCTGAACATTTACAGGTATAATAGCTCATTCTGCTGACACCTTCCCTTCCCCCAGAACAATGCAAGTAAGCCAAAAAATTCCAGATGAGCACATGTGCCGAAGAAAAAGCTGTGAGAACCTACCCTACACCCCTAACTGGAGCATGAATTTACTGGTCTTGAAAGCGTAAAATTGAGTTAGCTGGAAGTGTCCGGTTTCCAGCACTTGTTATTGCAAGAGTGCCGAATATACTTCGCTACGTAGACTCATATTCTCAACTTGATAAAAGAAAATAATGTGTTCCAAGTATAACAGTGCAGACCTCAACAAGGTACCCATCCCTTGCTCCTCAGAGAGTATCGATTTCCAGCTTGACTACGCTTTCATATTGAAAAGCTGATACATGCACATCTATGTTCAAAGATTTTATTCAAAGAAATATTCAACATGAACGCAGATCTTGCATCTCCTGCTGCTCTTACTACACAAAACTCTGCAGATTAATAATTTTCTCTGAGCTACAAAATTCCCCACAAAGTGACTTACAACAGTAGGCACCTGCTAGAAAACTTCTTATGTACAAGGCCTGTGTGTTTAGCCTGATTTCTTCAATGTAAAGGCCATTGCACTTCGCGGGGTTAGGTAACAAACCCTTCCTGTCAGCTTTGCAAACATCAGGACTGACCTAAGGCAGGCTACCATCGTTATGAAAGCTGGGATTGAACGTCCTCTGAATTGACCCTGAGTGACAATTCCTGCCAGAAAAATAACAGTAAGGTACTCGTGAAGACAGCCTTCTGATGGAGTTCTTAAAATATTACTTGACCTAAAGCCAAAATAAATTCCAAATGCTATCTCACCAGTTGCCCCAAACTTTAACATCTACTTTTCAAGCATTTCAGAAAGTTTCTTAAAGCTTCACTACTTATCCTCTTACTAACTTTTACTCCTTGATAAAGCCCGTTTTTACTATACACTCAAAGTAACAAGCAAAGCGAGCGCAGGTAGCAACTCTGCAGTGAGCTCTTGTATCTTCTCCATTCTGAATTCATCTTTACTGATGAAGAGGCAACCAGAATGGTATATGCGAGAGTCCAGATGAAGTCTCAGAATTGCACTATGGCGCTCCTACTTCAAAAAGCCCTACCTTCTTGCTTCAAAGTTTGGGCTTGGATCCTGCACCACAGTTCTATAAACTCGTATCAGGAAGTTCTGACTTTGTCACATTGTCACTTCATTCAACCTTGCAGGTTTTTATGTGATACTATGTATTTCCTGCTCACATGTCAACTTTAACTGTCAAAATGCCTGGATTGGTTTTATCACTTAGCTTATGCAATTCCTTTCTCCTCGCCCTATTCAACAAAATCAGCTTATTGACCAGTGTAGCTGGCAATGCTGCACTGCAGGGGGAAAGAAGATGCTTCAAGCAGACAAGGCTAGTCTACAGACAGCCAAGTCTGCCATCTTCCACCACCCACACGAGGATAACTCGTTCTGATGAGGAACATCAGTACTTAAGTGGCTGTGCAGAAAACAGGCTTCCACTGGAACACCGGTGAAAATGTACATTGTTTCCCCAAAGCTATTTATCTTTTTTCTTTATAGAAAACTTTGTTTCTTTGCAAAAGCTCTTCATTTTTCTGTCACAAAAAAATAGATAAAGTATTTAAATATCAACCTACCCCTAACAGAAAGATTTCTGATTGTCCAACTAAAACCAGTTTCTGCTCTGGTCTGACATCAGTCCATGTCCCCGTGAGCTGCTGCACTGCCCTGAGCCTGCGTTCTTCTTTACGGGCAGTGCCAAAGCCCTTGTAAGAAGTGCTGCAAACCCCCTTTTAGCTGAGCTGTCAATACGTATCACTGGAGATTCAGTCTGGCAAAAGCCACTGATGCCTCAAGCACCTGTATTGCAACTGCCAAGAGGCACCCCAGGAACCGAAGAGACAGAACAGAAACATCGCATTTGGAATTTCAGAGTTCTTTCTGACTAAATGAAGTGTTGTTATTCTTTCCAGCTTTTATTTTGGGATTGTTTATTCCCTAAAACATTTCAGCTTTATGCAGCGGCTAGGCACAAGCCCTCAGCACCAAAAAGACTGAAATTTTAGTTCTTACCAGGAGGGAATACCAGTTGTTACTTGCTTTCTCGTATGACGTAATTTGCATGGTATCAGTGGTTCAAACTTTTACTTAAATTTGTGCTCAGTCTTGGTCAGAGGCTAAGAGGTAACTGCCCTTTCAAACCCAGAATTTTCTTAACAGCTGTTCTAGATTGAATTCTCCCCCTTCCCTGCCCCCCACCCCAAATGCCTATGGATCATTAATCAAGATAGCACAGATAGTACTGCTATACAATTCTAACAAGTTACACTGAAATACTTAGTTGAAATTAAAAATAGAAAAACATTCAACTGGAAAACACTTACAGGCTCTGTTAAAGTTGTATCTTTTTCCAGGAACTGTACAACACAATAGGCGAGCTAGAACGTAAGTCATACGATTATTTAGTTTAAACAGACACTGTTTAGACATGGCAGCATAACTAAGTATCACAACTTATAATGGAAGCACTTCAGATCTGGGGGGGACCCAACCCAAATCACCCCTACAAAGCCATTTTAAATTATTCCAAACAAAACGGAACAGCAGTTAAAGCAGGAAGGTATAGAGGCCTGCTCTATCTTACAGAAACTTCCCCGCATACCAAAAAATATTTTTTTTTATCCTAGAATAAATTTATTTTTAAGCTTGACAGATCTTTTCCTAACTCAGATCCAGCATCCAGACAGATTTTTCTCAGCATCCATTCCTGTATTAATGTTACAAAGCTATCATTTTCAAACATCTGTTTTGGGGTAAGAAACGGTGACACTTTCAGTCTTCAAACATCTGTTTTGGGGTAAGAAACGGTGATACTTTCAGTCAAAAAAAAAAAAAAGGTTTTAAAACAGGTTGACTGAGCACACATCATGCAAATACTGGACATCTACAGCACACAACAGTCAGTGATAAGATTACAGCTGAAAGAATTTTAACATGTTACATGGCCACAAGCGATGAGGCAGCACCTGTCCAGCTGAGCACCCTGTCCCCAGCAATGGCCAACAACAAATGCCTGTGGAGGGGTGTATGAAGAGGGGGAAACGTAACATGATTAACCCCCCAGCATGCTCTCCCAGCCTCTAGTGATTTCTGTCCAGGGGTCTTCTCTGGCCAAAGTGTGATGTTATATGTTATATAATTACTTATTGTTTAGTTACTTAGCACATAGTTAAGTAACTAAATGACCATACCTCTGCCCAGTACAGAAACCATACAATAATCCTATTACTAAAGTAGTTAAAATCCTAGATTCCATTAAGGCTGATTTTAAGAAATCACGGTATTTTTCATCTCACAGTTTAAAGCAAAAGACAAAAATTATTTACACGCATTACATGTACATTTCAATACTTAGGATGCCTGAATTCAAGCGTTACCTTTCCTTTTTTTTTTTAATCTGTTATCCCAGAGCAGATAATTACAATGCTGTAATTACAACAAGTCTAATTTATTTCTTTTACCCTTAGGTTAAGGATGTATATGTGGGGATTCAAAAAATAATAAATGTCACACATTAATCTCATAAAATCCCATTATATATATATTGTGCAGTAATTCTTTATTGTTCAAAGACACAGAGACTCAAACTTAAGTCAGCTTTAAGGCTTTAACTTTTAAGGGTAGGCTAAACTTGTACGGTAACAACAAAGCGACCAGGTCACTCCTGAGTGCAAAGCAGATTTAATGCTGGTTTACACCTTCAGGATAATACGAAACCAGAAACACGCAGTGCTGAAACTGCACGTGGCACTAGTGGTTTATGAAGGGATAGATGAGTAGCCTGGCCAGCAAGCCAAATGCTACTTCGGGGTACACCATACAGCTGAATTAACAGGACCCTTGCAGGTACTGACGAACCAGATTAAATGTATCCTTAAAAAAAAGGATCACTTGCTGTACTGATCCATCATCTGAGAATACCTTTGGCAAGTGACCGGTCCCTTTCATATCACTGACTCATTCCATGCAGCAGCCTATTTGCATAACAATAAACCACAAAGACAGGTGATTTAATTAAATTAAAACTTTATAAGAGAATTAGGAATTAACTGAGCTCTTGACTTGATCCTGTTTGTAGGCTATATAGTCATAATGATTTCACTTTAATTAGAAACTCATTGCCTCATATCTTTAGCCTATAAGGAGCTGTATTAGTGAGCTGACTAAGTTAACAAAGCAAGTTTTTAATTAGCCACAGCAGATTTACTTGCAAGTTTGCATCAAATGCATTCAATACTCAAGTGCCATCTGACTGGAAAGAATATACATTATTCCTGAAATAAAGCGCTGAGCATCTGTGCAAAGTATAAGAATGGAAGTCAAATGAAGAACCAAAGCATTCTGACAGCATGTCATGGATCTACATAATTTCTAGCTGATCCAGAGAGCTACTATACATTTCTGCCACTTATATCCAACATTCTCCTCCCCTCCCCATGACTGAAGTGGTTTTAGAAATAAAAAAGCACTTCTGAAATAAATACCTGGGCATACTCAAGGTTCTTTTACACATAGCATTTAGGTTACATAAAGGAAATTATAATAGAACAAGGTCCTGGGATTAAGTGAAGCTTAAAGTGTGACAAGACTAGCAAGCAAAACGGCTTCCTGCTTCAGCTGACATGACTTTGACTCACTGTTACATTCTTTCACTTTTAATATATGCTAAATATTATCTCAAAATTAACATTTAGACCTAAGATCTGTAAGCTCTTAAAAAAAAAGTGACTGGATTTACAAATATTTTGGGCTATTGATATTATAACACATACTGCTTTAAATTTCGTTAGTTTCAAATGCAAATACAAAAAACCCCACCACTCTTAAAAATAGGCAAAAGCTTACCTGTGCATGAAACAAAGCTAATCCCTTTGCAGTATGCATGGGAATCAGAACTTTCATAAGGAACTGTTTGTGTTCTGCTTTCAGTGGCAGTGCAAAACCATTGATAATACTGAAAACATGAATAAGCAGGATTTATTTTTATTAAAAAATAATTTTTTCCTAGCAAGTCAAGAATTTCTGTAAATTCAAGAGACACTCCATTTCTGATTCAATTTCTAAACTCGATTATTTTGAAGCCATAAAATGGTTCTACATACGCACAACCTTCAAAGTGTTGGTATCATGTGAGTTTAGACTCTTGGTGGAATACCAGAGGATCACAGTAGAAGTCAAATAATACTCATTAAGATGAGCCAAAGGTATTTTTATTGTGACCTCCATTAAGTAAAATCATGTATGTACAGTAAGTCTTGCTGCCTAATTGTAAAGCTTAGACAGACGCATCAGGAAGCTGATGCATTCCACCCGCAATCGCTACCAACTTGTACAAAAAAAATACAATTTTGAACTATTTTAACAGTGCAGTTTGAACATTTGTTTTGAGATTGTTGAATGACCTTTCCCTCCAAAAACAGTTAAAAAGTTGTCTCATTGATTCAGTAATCTTATTTTTAAGAGCCGAGTCATAGAACAGACACAAGTCCTTCAGGAAGAGGTTGGGGTTTTTTCCCCCTCTACATTTTAGATAAATCTAAAAAAAAAAAATTTATTTTAATGAAAATTTGTTCCACAGTAGTTTCACAATGTTTGGATTTTCAGTGAGACCAGTAATATAAAATTTTCTACTGTGAAATGTACGTGACAGTTTTGGAAAAACAGTAAAATACTACCACAAAAAACTTCAAAGTTAAAAATTAAATTAGTGAAATAACATCAAAAAAATAACTAAAAAACCCCAGCACTTATGAGGCTTTCCTGAACAGAATTTAAAGAAAACAAGCCTGCTGAAGATTAAAGCATTTCATTCAGCATGAGGGCAAAAGTTAACATTAATTTTCTGAATCAAAGAACAAGTCATCTATCAGATATAAGATAAGCGAGAGTAGATGTTCCTGACAAACAAGGACCCTTAAGAAATATTTTGCCAGTCATCCTTAAAACTTGCACTGAAAAAGAATAATTTATACTCTAAATCCTAATTTAATATTCACATGGTAACCCAGACAGTATTAGATTATATCAGTGACTGCACTTCATCAGCTGTTACTGTAATAATGCTCTTTCCCCCATTCCCAAAGCAAGAAAGCTGAAGCAAACACCCACAAAAACATTTAATATTTTTGTGTCAGATCAAACTTACCTTCCTAATATCTCAAGAAGCTCAGCAACACCATTGAAGTGCTCCGTTTCATATATAAACCTGTTATGAAAAAAAGACAACCATCAAAAATGGAAACAGAGGATCAGAGATTCCAAAGAAATAACCGTTAACAGGCTTCAAATATTTGAAAGCCAGATCACAGACCAAACCCAGGCCTTTTATTTCAAGAATAAATCACTGCAGACCCAGAGCATGAAGGCAAGATAAAGTATTCCTCAACCTAGTCACATGCACATATACAGCATACCTGAGGAAAATGTTGTTAATCTGTTTCCTGATGAATGCTCTTAAACCAAGGAATTTTCCATAAATTCGATGAAGAACTGTCTTTAGAAAATCACGTTCTCGTGGGTCTTCACTGTCAAAGAGCTCCAGCAACTTTAAAAATTAAATTGAAATGTATTACTTCTGAAATAGTTAAATTTTGTTGTGTTACTAACCAAGCTGAGTCTTATTTTTAATTTACAAGTTTACATTAGAAAAAATAGAATCAGTTTAACCAAAAATTTGGTTTTGACGTCAATACTGTATTTTCAAAATTAGATTTTTAATAAAGCTTTTTTTTAAAATATAAACCCAGCAGCTTCATTCCCTTCAATAGTCTGTATAGAACAGACAAAGCTGTTCTAACACCTATTACACTATCAAAATAAAAATGAAATTGCAATAATAAGATTTTCAAACGTTAGGTAAATGGTTTACACTTAATCATTAAGAAATCAGAATTAATCAAATCAGATATTTACAGTTTCTTAGTTAACATCCTGTATTGCTCAGCTAAATAAAAAAAAAAAATAATCTACTTGTCTTGAAGGTTAAGCAAAAGCATTCCTATACAAGAAGTTTCACAATTAATGATTTAATATGGAGGGTGTAATAAAATAAGCATAGGATTATTAACTAATTCTCTGCTAATACAGACTAAATGCCACAGTAAGCTAGCAAGATTTTCCACATATTTTTTTCTTTTAGAAAGTTTTCCAGGGATACAGAAGAGACCATGCTCACTTGAAGCCTTCAAAAGATACCCCAAACCCACTGCAGGCCATTTAGTTATTTTTTTTTTTCCTGTGTGTCCAAGTAAGAGCATATTTAGAAGTGCTAACTGCGCTAAGCAAGTTAGTAACTTAGCTCATGCAGTCACAAGAGTCTCCTGCTCAGTCCAGGCCTGTAAGCTTGAGTATGTCTACACCAAGCAGTGTTAAGGGACTGGAAACAGCTGTTCAGGAACTTTGTTCAGTCTCATTTCAGTTTTAGATTTAGGAGGAATTTCTCAGGGTCACTACTCCACTTTTTCCTCCATGTATAGCTAGCTGTTCACTGCATTGTCTGTCTTGTACTCTAGAGAAAGATCAAGTGAAATGTCAGGAATTGAAACTCTGCAACATGGCTCTTAAGAGCCATGGGTCAATTAGTAAATTGGACGCCCACGGCCAACAATTCAGCAGCAGCTTCAGGCCTAAACTTTATGCGAAAATCAAATAAAGGAGAGAAGAAGGAAAGGCCTATAAACTAGAACAGTAAAACCAAACAAATGGAAGTCAAATGCAGTCACTGAAGGTGGGGAGGAAAAGTGTCCATCTACATTTTTACTTTTCACTGCTGTACCGTCATGACATGCCAGCACTCACTCTTCAGATACCGAGCTTTTCCTTGACAAACAAGTATTTTGACATGGTCAAAAATAATCCCCACTGTGTTAACCTTGGACAAAAATTGTTCTGGTATTCTCCAGCCTGATTCCTTGAGAGTTACATTTAATATGAAACCTCGCTTCACTTTCTTGCTTAGTTAGTTTGCATGAGGAAGCATGATTTTCCTATGTACTTTCTTACTTAATTTTCTTTCTGTGGTTAACACACAATAGTGAAGAGAATAACTGTATCTAGTCACAAGTTAGCAGATGTCGGAACACATTTAATGTACCGTAAGTACATGAGCTTTTTACAGGAAAAAAGTTTCCTCTAAGTTTTCCCATGATGAATCTATGAAAAGCAAACATAAAAGCACTACAAAGTTTAATTAGGACGTTGCTGATTTGACTGGAAGTTACAAATCATTAAAACCACAACTTGTATTTACAAATTACAAATATCTTGCATTGCAAAGCACTGAGGTTGATATCTGAAAACAAACTGTTTCTGAAGTTACTAATTACATATAGCCTGTGTGGTATTATGTGCTGTTTATTTAGTGTTTGGCAGAAACCACCGTTGAACAACTAAAATTTAACCCTGTGTCAACACGAAAGCTTTAATATTTTTCTTAGCTGTACAGTCATCTGATAAGTTAAGCTTGAGAAGTGATCTCTAAGTCTGGAGGTGGGAAAACTCTCTGCTTACCTGCTGTACAAATTTCTGGTCAATATATCGCTTTGCAATGCTAGGCTGAAAATCCGGACTCTCCAAAAACCTCAGGAAAAATTCATACACCAACTACAAGCATTGAAATGAAAATTTTGAAGTTAGTAAGTACACCATAACACAGATCTCAGCCCCACCACCACCACCACGCCAGTGGGACTATTCGCATGATTAAAAGGTACAAAAGGAAACCGAAGCCCAACACGACACTGCTTAATCATTGCCTCTACCAGAATTCACTGATAGAATTACAGTAAGTATCAAGAACACTTTAATTCCCAGAAGGGTCAAAGCTTTATATATAAATCTACAGAAAATATCACTGTTAGACAAAAAAACAAGTTCTAAGTATTACATATATTCACATTTCCTACTATATTAAGAATTTATTATGGAGAAATAAATTACCAAACTTATCAACACTGATGGTAAAATTAAGTGCTCTAATATCACATAATTCCTTAAACGGGTGAAGAAGAATCTGCTAAGTATTCCTGAAATTAAGTTTCAGCTGCGAACTCCAAAAATGAAAAGTCATATTAAAAAGCTGAATGAATACAGAGAGACTTAAGAGTTTGGCTTAATGTTAGGCTTCTATGTCCTGGACACTCAATTTAAACAACAGGACCCTCTGCAGATTTATCTTCAACATCCTTTATATTTTGTAGTGCATTATTTCTGAGTTCAAGTCCCCATTCACTATGATCCCACAATGCCCACAGATGGAAAAAACAGACAGCAGATAGAGCTAGCGAGGCCCTGAGTTATCAGAGAGAGGCATGAAGAAGCCAGAGCGCAAGTCCCATATTTTGAGGTTCATGAGAAGTCCAAGACACAAAACACTGCACTTCCACAACAACAGCAGTTTTATGAAATATACATAAGGCATCCCTTAGCTAAGGCAGAATTAAGAAGAAAGATGTCTTATGTTTAGATACATTCAGGGACACTTATGTTCTCAATACCTATTTTTTAACTCCATGTTTAACAACTGATTAGTAATAATACTAAAATGCAATTTAGATACATAAAGATGTCACTGACTGAACTTCTAAATAAAACCCACATAGAGCTGTGGTCATACTCACAGGCATCTATTTCAACCATTACCACTATGAGTACTTATTAAACAGAGCCAACACTTGAGTAATTCATAGTTGTGAAGTTCACTTGAGAGAAGCGTGTGACAACAAGTACTTTTCATCTAGAACATTTGAGGCAACAGTTACTTAGGCATAGCCTCAAGGAGGGTATGCTGTATCTGCAAAGCAGAAGCTCAGAAACACAAGTTCCCCTTCACTCTTTCTTCCCCTCTGACAGGCTGTAAGCAAGAGCTTTTCATATCAGCAGTTTAAACATCTATAAATTTAATGCAATGGAGCTGTATTAAAAGCCACACTTCCCTGTACAGCCTTAATTTGTCTTCTCGTGCATAAACAAAATAGCACATAGTTCCACAATAGGCAACACAGGACAGTGTTAAAAGTTTGGTAGATGACAATCCAGTAATATATTATTTTAATATTACCATACTCCACCCTCTGTTTTAGAAAGAGATCAATCATGGCTGTTTAATATCTTCATCAATGACATAAGACAGTGGGATCAAGTACACCTTCAGCAAGTTTGCAGATGACACCAAGCTGAGTGGTGCAGCTGACGCCTGAAGGATGGGATGCCCTCCAGAGGGACCTGGACAAGCTCAAGGAACTGGCCCACCTGAACCTCATGAGGTTCAACAAGGCCAAGTGCAAGGTCCTGCATCTGGGTCAGGGCAACCCCCAGCATCAATACAGACTAGGTGACGAGAGCAGCTCCGTGGGGAAGGACTTGAGGGTTCTGGTGGATGAAAACCTGGACATGAGCCAGCAGCATGCACTCGCAGATCAGAAAGCCAACCATACCCTGGGCTGCATCAAAAGCAGCGTGGCCAGCAGGTCGAGGGAGGCAATTCTGCCGCTCTGCTCTGGTGAGACCGCACCTGCAGTACTGCATCCAGCTCTCGAGCCCTCACAGCACAAGAAGGACGTGGACCTATTGGAGCAGGTCCAGAGGAAGGACACAAATTATCAGAGAGCTGGAACACCTCTCCTAGCAAGAAAGACAGAGTTGGGGCTGTTCAGCCTGGAGAAGGCTCCAGGGAGAGACAATTGCAGCCTTTCAGTACTTAAAGGGGACTTAGAAGAAACATGAGAACAGGCTTTTTAGCAGGGCCTGTTGCAATAGGACAAGGGGTAACGTTACTAAACTAAAAGTGGGTAGATTCAGGCTAGATACAAGGAAGACACTTTTTTACGATGGTGGTGGTGAAACACTGGAACGGGTTGCCCAGAGAGGTGGTAGATGCCCCATCCCTGGAAACATTCAAGGTCAGGTTGGACAGGGTTTGATGAGCCTGATCTAGTTGAAGATCTCTCTCCTCATTGCAGGGGAGGTTGGACTAGATGACCTTTAAAGGTCTTTTCCAAACCAAACCATTTATGATTCTACTGACTTTTTTCAAGCTAGAAACTTAAAATTCAGTGGTGGTTTGTATTGAAATGGGAAACATATGGCTGGAGGGAGGTTATTAGCACAGCTTAATAGGGATTAATTTTTGAATTAAATTTCATTAAATATTTCTGTAAAATTCCTACATTAAATATTTCTGTCAGTGACCACAAAGAAGAGTCATGTGATAACTGCTTAGATAATGACACAATATTGGAAGCTACTACTAGGAAGAAAAAAAAAAAAGTCTATCAGGTTTTCAATAAGAAAGGACAAGTTGACCCTGAAGGCCTGGAGTAATAAATACAGGATGAAACTCAAGGATTGCAAAGTCACAGCTAGAGAACCATGAAAAAGCTCTGCTAAGCATTTGCAAGCCTTTAAGCTGAGAAAGGGTTAACCATAGGATGACTAAGATCCATCTACACAATGAAGCCACGGAAGTGACAGATGAAATCCTGGGATATTCCAGGAAGATACTAACAGTACACATAGAGATGCACAGTCCTACACATGCTTGAGGAAATTTATTCAAACCTGAAAGGATACAGAGAAGGAGCCACTAGAACTGTCATGGGATAGAGTGCCTTTTACGAGGGAAGACTAAATTGGCATGTTTTGTTTTCCCTAAAGGCCAGGGGGAGGAAGGACAATTATGGCTTCTTTCCATAAATAGATACGGGGACTGCGATAAACATCAAGCAGAAGAACTAAGTTAAAGCATAATGCTGTAACATCTTGGTACAAACTGTCCAAGATGAAGTTTAGATGTACCTTGGTTTTGATCATAATCGATACCCTAATCTATAAAATAGAACAAGTCAATATTAATGCATGATTTTCAATACATGATGACAAATTAATCAGTTACGCATCTCATTTCTAATATAGGGAGAGTATGCATTAGTAACCATTCAAATGTTTCATATAAACACATGCAATTCCAGAGCCATGATTGCTGCTGTTGCTTTTCAAGAGCTTTCAGAAAAACAAAATCTGGTACTCAAAAATCCAGTTTGAGCTGTATTGCAGGGAAGTTTTGTGCACTGAGGGGGTATTTATGGAGTTCTGATGCTTACAGAGTCATCTAGCTTCCTGATAATTATTACCAATGCTCCTAGAACATGTACAGCTGGTAAAATGTATCAAATAACTGTGGAAATCCTTGGGAAATCCATAAAGCTTTATCTGAGGCATTTCAGGAAGCAAGCTGCAAGAGCCATTTCTGGATAGTCAGCTTCTCCCTTCTCCTGTACACTAACGTCTGCAAACTTAGAAGCATAACAACAGCTATCAACTAGGGGGACAAGAACAGATTCTAGCCACAACAGATAATGGGTGCTACTACAAAAAAAAACCAAACACACACACACACAAAAAAAAAAAAAAAAAAAAAAAAAAAAAAAATAAAAAAAAAAAAAAAAAAAAAAGAGACAGACACACACAGGTATGCTTAACTTTAACTGAAGCATTACCATTGGAAATACTAAATCAGGGGAGAACTGCTGGATTTGGTCATTTTGGTTCTCAAAATTGGTATGCTTGGGTCAAAGCTATGAAATACAACTCCCATTACTTCAGTGATTCAATTTTCTTTCTTGCAGAGATGACTAGAACATTACTGCTTTAAGCTACCAATGCTACCAACTCTGCAACTCCCCAGGCTTCAAAACAGACAGTGGGTTTAATGCCAACCCGTTCAACCTAGTTTGGCTGTTACAAACCATCTTGAGTATTGCTTTAAAAAAGTCTTTCAAGTGGCACTCATTTTACTGAAGGTCTAGAGTCTTTTGTTGTGACTACACGCACTGGTAAATTCCTAAGCCATCATCTACCGTTGCTTTACAGAGAAATGCCAACAGATTCAGATGGAGAAGAGATTCAGATTTTTTTTCTTTTCCCTCCCAGAAAACTGGCTACCTGACTGCCAGATAGGATAGAATTCTGAATTTGTTTCTAATCGAGCAATCACAAATCATTGCCAGCAAAACACATCCCCCTCCGCTCCCCAAAGCAGTTCTTTAGCCTATATGAAAAGTAATAATGGGGGGGGTGGGGGTGGCACGCAGAGGAGCATGTGTGTGCAGACCCCCTTCTTCCATATGCAAAATTTGACACTTCCACCAGCTTTGTGCTCCTGTAGGGTAATTGGTAGTTTATCAAATCAGTCTTCTACCATCCAGGAGCACATGAACTGTAAAAGAAATGAGAGGAAAACACAAACTGTTTCCATTGTGCTGCTATGAGCAATCTGTTCCAAGGATGGGATGAACAACTGATGCAGGAGAGGGAAATCCACCATCAATGATCAGAGCCTGGCCAAAACTCACTTAGAAAAAGGCAAAGGAAAAAGCCAAAAATAAATTTCAAATAATACCATGGGCTATGGACCTCTTTCAGTTTCTCACAGACAAGCCTAAAGCACAAGTGAACTGGTCACGGAAACCACAAGTCTTTTTCTATAAAAAGAACTATAGTTTTATTATGACCTAAAGTGAACCAAGCTAACATTTACAAATTTTACTCCTGAGACACAGGGGCATTTTCAAGTCAGATGATGCCGCTACTGACTGTAAGAGACATTTGCGTAGCCCTTGCACCCCTACAAAAATCAAGCCTCTCATCTAGTTCAGTTATAGCCATTTCTAGTATGAATTAGGATCAGCCATATAGAAGATAATTATTACCACAGCCTTTAACCTGCAGTTATTTTTTTGTGCTAACTTGTTTCTTACTTTAATTAAGTCTCAAATGCTATCCTGAACATGTACTTTTTATAGCCAATATTAGAAGGCCAGTTTATAAACAAGAGCATCTGTTGACACATTCGAACTGAGGTATTATAGAATAGAATCATAGAATCATAGAATGTTTAGGGTTGGAAGGGACCACTAGTGGTCATCTAGTCCAACCCCCCTGCAGTGAGCAGGGACACTGCTAATTATTAGGGGCAGAGTAGTATTTTAACTCTCTCAAGAGAGGAGAGAATGGTATGCAGACGTGCAGTAGCTATTTCTCTTCTACCCATTACTAAGAGTTGCTACAAAACTTTTATTTAACAGATACTACTTGTAAAAATCAGCAAACTACCCAAGATATGATTGGATGATTACAGTGATTTAGGTTTGTTAACTTTTAACAGCTAATTAGAAAAAAAAAAAAAATCAGCAGTATTGCAAGTCAAGCACGTGATTGATACAACAATGCTATAAAAATCACGAGAAGGGCAAAAGAGTGCAACAATAGAATAACCAACCAACTGTTACCAAACAACAACGCCTATATTGTAAAGTTTTTGCGTGAAGGGAGGGAAGAGGGCGAGAAGAATGAAAAGATATCTATTTCTTGCTCGAAAGACAAAGGCTATTACTCCATTTTTTGTTATTGTCAGAAGAAACTAAACTGTTAACATCCTCTTGAATTTTACTGAAATCATACAAAAGTCACTCAAGTGCAGAAAACGAATCTCTTAAGAGCATAATTAACTTAAATATCCATGTATTTAAGACATACATATACCACACTTCACAGTGCAATCACTCCATTAAAAATATATATATATTTAAACAATTTGGGAGACTTACATTCTGCCATGTTTATATATGTTAAAAGCACTGCTTTTTTTTTCCTCCCAAGTATAGAAACTCAACTGTATTATAAAAACAATTTCAATGTTCTTACCAAAGGCACAAAGTGACTCAAGTGTCCATTCACAGTTCTTGCCTTACCAGAAGGCTTGAAAATAAAGGAATCACATACCTGTATGTGGGGCCATGAGGCTTCAAGAGTTGGTTCATCTTCTTCTGGATCAAAATCTGGGTTATCGCTAGGTGGAAGTGTTCTGAAAATATTAGAACTAATCTGCAAGAGAAAAAAATTGTTCAATTGTATCACCTTTTTATGCTTCCACAGATCAAACTCAGCAAGGTATTGCTTTTATCCTAAAATTACATGAAACAAAACCATCTTTTTAAAAAACAAGAAGTATAATAAGTCACTTTTGTTCTTTATTTTTTCAAAACTGCTAAATTCAAACAGCCAAAAGTCTGAGACAGGCCAATGAAAATAATAAGAAAGTAACTTTTGTCTCAACTGTTTTACAAGTTTGTAGCTAGACATGGTCATATTTAAAATTTTTTTTCTAAACATACAAAAGTTAAAAGAAAATTTCAATTTCCCCTTATAAAGACCAATTTTTAACAATGTGACACAGAGCTGAGGTTTTATATAAGACAACAAATGCAGGATGACTAACCAATTATGATTTAAATAGAGCCTACTTCACATGTAAGGCAGTCAATCCCAAAAATATATCTAGAGTTCAGTTAATTTCAAGATATTTCTCACTTTCAAATAAGAACTGAAGAACAGTTTATAATTTTTCACTTTTCATAGTGTCAAGATGTTTCAAGGTTTTGGGAAGTCAGAAATACATAGCAATTGTAACTTTTTGATTTAACACAGAGTAACTTTGAAAAAAAACAAAGAAAAATAGCTACCAAGTTACTTTAAGTAAGATATAGTCATATCAAATAAATTTCAAAAGGGCAAGTTCAAAAAGGTTTCTCAGGGATTTTTGAAGTACATAGGAGTCCAGATAGAAACCAATCTTTCAGATGTCAAAAGAAAAATAAATGTCATCTCTTCTGCCAGATGTAACATACTGGATTTTAAATCTCTAATATGAACAAAAGAGAACATTAAGTTAATTGCGTTTCTGCATTTTCTACTGTTTTTTTTTTCAGGAACATGCTTAGCCCAACTTTTCCAATCATGTTTCAAACTCTTCAGTCTTTTTGATCAAATCTGCTTCAAACAGCTGCTAACCACCCAAGCCCACTAAACACAAAAGAAAGCGTTTGACAGTTTGCAACAAATGCAAAGCTTCCATGGAGTCTCCAAGGTGTTTGAAGAATCTTGCAAAAGGGCTTTCAAAGATCCTGAAGTCACCCAGCTGGCTCTGCATAGAAGAATCAGCTGCCTCATTAAACAAGATATATAGCTATTGCATAAACTGACTTTTCATTTCCTCCTACGTGCTTCATTCTATGTCCTCTCACCATCTCCTGTTGATACACAGTATAGCTGCAGATGCTGCTGCTCGAGAGTAGAAGGGCAACTATGTTCTGTATAGATGGGCACTACAGCAGCCTCCTAGTTTACTGCACAGCAGAAAAAAAACCTCCACCAAAACAAAGCAGTATAGTTGTCCTTTAATGCTGTTAACACAAGGGACTTGGGATTCCACAGCACAAGAAAAACTGACTAGGGGAAGAGGAAGGGTAGTCTGAGATAATGTGAATTTTAATCAAGCCCGAAAACCAAGACTACAATCCTGGTTCTCTTATTTGATGTTGCCTACCCTTACTAGGTATTCAACAAAACCATCCAACATACAAATCAGTCCCCTATAGAGACTTCCCTACCTCTGCTTACAAATCTTCTGGTAACGCCTCTTGAAAATGCATCCTTTTACTTCTAGATGCATTTTGCTGAACTGAACCAGTCAACCCTTTAGCACAGAATCTCAGAGTAAAAAATGTGAAAGCTTCAAGCCCAAAACAAAGGTACTTACTACTGAACGTACTTCTACAGTAGAAACAAATAGCAAGCCTCTCAGCCAGATCTTCAGAAAACTAATTTTATGATTTTCAGAGTATTTGATACTTCTACTAGCATTATTGGTCTCCTGAGAACATACAAAATTTAGAATAAACTGTGTACCGTTTTTATGTACAGGCCTGTCTCCCTGAAGAACCAGTTCATTTACTTCATTATGTTGAAATACTTCTGCTTCCTGTCACATTTGCTTCTTTCTAATGTCTTGCTAACAGTATTGATCAAAAACGCGGTTTGGGTTAAAACCCTCATTGTTTTTCTATGGACAAATTCTTGTCTATATCCTCTCATATTATTTAAGAAGTTCCTTTTCCTTCGTAAGTGGGGTCTTGCCTCAAAACTGTGATTTGAGAAATACAAATCATAAAAGGCTTTCACAGCTGGACAGGCTTCCAGAGAAACCCAGCATTAGCTTTCTACATTATCTCAGAAAGTTTTGTGAAAGTGGCATCTGAAAACGTGCCAGTTAATGTATTAAGATACAGGAATTATATTTTATTAAAACAAAGAAGAAAGAGTCCCTTATTGTCTATATACTTCCCAAGGAGCTAAGCATTTGGAGAGATACCAGATTCAATTCCAATTTCTGAGCATGCAGATAGGGATATCTGATGTTTTTTGAAATTCTGAATGCACAGCTTGTGCAAGCTGCTAAGACAATCTCATTTACCTTGGATTTTTATTTGCTCATGGGGAACAAGGGGAGGTTGGCAGGCACAAGGAGACAGAGGAATAATGTGTACTGAAGGGACAATTCTGTTATGCTCCCAAACCTGGTAAAGGCTAGAGCTTTCTAACTTCCTAAGAAGTTAGAAAACTTAAAATATTCACAATGCCAAACCCGAATTTGCTGTTTGCTTCAGAGTACTTTCAACTAAGAATTTCCAAACAGAGAAGACACCTGTTTTAGATGACCTAGAAGGGAAGTGCACAGAATACTGTGCTACCCCTTTAAAACTATTTGTAAGCAAAACTCAGTTCTTAATTCAAAGGCTTTGGCAAAGACATTATAGGAAAATCAGGTTGCCTGGGGCACCACAAAGATAACGTACAGCATATGTCCTGTACATCTGCCTAAACAAAGATTTTTTTTTTTTTTTAAATGAAAAGACATTGGTATTATTTCAACCAGTGCTCCCTACCTCAGGATCCAAGCAAAGCAGGGACAACTACACGAGCCATTACTGTGTGGTACTTGCCCAGCAGCTATCGTGGTAACAGAGACCACGTGAAGGGAAGAACGCTAGGAGACCTCCTCACCTACACAGACCTTGCCTATGCACTGGTCAAGAACAAAATTTTTTTTCCTCTTGATATCTGTAAGGGATTGTTGACTTTACCTCCCCAAGACTCAGGCAACTGGGCTGCTTCCTCTGCAAGCTGGAGGAAAGGTGTCCGAGGCCTAGGGAAAG